ATGGGGAAGGGCTCTCCTTTCCCTCTGGTTGTAGACAGGCATGCCCAAGGGGCCGCATGGTAACTGCTGGGCTCACAGCAGCTTGTCTGTCCACTCTGGGGCCATGTGCTCCCCCCCCGGGGCAGGGCAGCTGTGATGACCGGGATGCACAGAGCTAGCCAGAGGTGGGCACCGGGCACTAGCAGGGGCCAAAGGCAAGGGGTAGGGCGGCAGAGGCATAGGAGGCGGAACCAGGCATGGGGGTGGGTGTTTAGGGCCAGGTCACCCGACTACGGGCCCTGCCACGGCGTCCCTGGCTCATGGCCGGTGGCCACCGTTTCGTGTTCTGGCGTTGGTCAGGTCACGGGTTCTTGTGCCAATCCAGGGCCACACCATGGACCACAGCTCCCTCCAGGCTGTGGAGACCCAGGAGCCCGGGCTGGAGCTGGAGCTGAGCTCCATGCCCGCTCCGGAGGACGAGTGTTAAGAGGAATTCCAGGAGACCCTTCCGGTGGGCAGGGCCCCAGCTTGGAGTGGGGGTAAGAGAAGAGCCAGGGAGATGCTCGCAGCTGTGGAAAGACGCTGGTGCCCATCACTGCTGGTCCGGGGCTTGTCTCCCGGAGACTGGGCTGTACCTTGAAGCCTGTTACACCTGTTCCTAAAAAGAGCAAGTCCGTTTGGAGCTCTGCTGGGTGAGGCCAATGCCCAGCCGCGTGGACCCAGAGGCCACTTCCACTCTTCCGGTGCTCTCTGGCGGCACCGGACCTGCTGCGCCTGGAGTTCCAGGGAAAGGGCGCATGTGGCAGCCACCCCCTCTCTGGGGAAGCATTCCACTGAGTTGTGCCGGTCCGGGGACCGCAGGGCGGGGTGTCCACCGTGCTCCCTGCACAGGGGGCCGCCCCGCAGCGCACACCTCCGAGCCTGAAGCCTAGCGGAGGCTTGGGAGACCCTGCTGTCCGCCCCCCAGGATGTGCGAAGGGGGGCTGAGAGGGGGCAGGGGCGGGGTCACAGAGGACAGAGGTTTGCTGAGCTCAGGACACTCCCCTCGGGGCAGAACCAGAGGCTCTGCTATTGGGAACCCAGCGCCCAGCCTGCCGACGTTTGCTCACGCGATGCTGTTGTTTCTAAGTAGTGAACAGCTGACGGCCTGTGGGGGGTTGAGCGTGTATCAATCGTCACGGGAACACCCAGCATTTCTTCGTCACCGGCCACTGGTGGGCCTCTCGGGTGCTCCTCTAACAGCCAGCTGTCGCTTGTTCCATAGAACTTCTTTACAGCTGCGCACCGCAGTTCTCCGGAGTGTGTCTGCGGGCACCGTGCCCCCAGGTGAGCCTGCGGGCTGCAGGGGCCAGAGACGGGGCGGGGGCGGGGGAGGCTGGCCCTGCCCCCTGCATGCCCGCTTCGATGCGTGTGCCAGACAGAGCATCGCCCTGCAGGCTCCGGGCCGGGCCCTCCGCAGGCTGTGGGGAGCCCGTCTGTGGGTGAACGATGTCATTCTTGGCAAGGTAACCAGCCCTGTGTGCGGATGCTGCGTCTGGAAAAGACTGTGTCATTGGGGTGGGGGGCACGCATGCCTTCCCTCACAGGGATGCTTGCAGGACCATTGGAACCTCTGCTCGTCGGGGAAGCGCGGCGATTCCGGAAGGGGTGCACGTGATGTGGCACGAGGCTCTCGCCCTGCTCGGGCCTGTGAACCCCCCAAGGAGGTGTGCTGGGGGCTCACAAGGGCACATAGCTCTGGGGGCCCTTTACACAGGGGGGACTGAGGTCTGGAGGGCTCTGCAGGCTGGGGAAGGCCTCCCTGCTGGAGCCGGGGGAGCAGGTTGGAGACAGGCCTGCGAGCCGCCTTAGCAGCGGGGCAGGGCTGGGAGGAGAAAGCGGCCGTGGGATGTGCGGACGGGGTCCTTCAGCCCCAGACTCCCGGTTCAGGTCAGCTCTGGGGCAGCACCGGGCTTTAATTTTCTCTGGGACAAAGTAGGGGTCTGCTGGGCCTCCCAGGCAGGAAGCACGGACACCTGGCTGTCGCCCCCACCCTGTGGGGCAGTCAGTGACCCGCTTGGGCAGGCTGGCAGCACCGCAGCTGGAGGGAGAGGTCCCCCCTTCCTGGACGGCACTGTCAGGAGCACCCAGAGTCTTGGGGCATCTCAGACCGCACCCGCCTTGGGAGCTCCCGGTTCCCTGAGAGTCCCCAGCTGACCTACCTCTGGCCACACCTCTGAGAAGTCTCCACGCCCATCCTACCGGACACACGCTGCTCTGACCCCTTTGGCAGGCCAGACCAGAGCCACTCGGCCGCAGCGGGCCTCACGGGAGCCCTTGCGGGGGCCACCTCTAGGCCCACTACTTAGGGAAGAACTCACGGCCGGGCCTCTAAATCTGGGTCTGTCCTGCTCTGTCCAGTTCTGTCCCTCTCTGTCCGACTCTGTCCCGCTCTGTCCGTCTCTGTCCCACTTTGGGCCAGTTCTGCAGAAGCACAGGGAAGGCGGCCTGTGCCTCTCTGTCCCAGACCTGCTGCCACAGGAGTAGACGTGGGCCTGGCCAGGTGCTGGTCCCCGCGGCCTGCTCCTGCCCCAAGTTGCCCCAGACACTGCTGCCTCCCACCGCTGCTCTGACCAAAGGGCGGGGACTCGGGCCAGGTACTTGCCCTCTGGGCCTCTCCAGCCAGCCCCCCCACACCCCCTCCTCATCCTGCTGGCCCCTGGAGGGGACAGCTGGGCTGCGTGCATAGCCAGTGGCTCCTGGCTGAGGGGCCCCGCGCAGCCTCACCCTACTTCTGCGCTGCTCCTTCCACGGGGCATCGACCCCTGGCAGCCGGAAGGCCTGAATTCTGGGGGCTCTGCTGTACAGAACACAGAACTGAATTTTGTGTCCCCGAATTCACGTCAGAAGCCCTACCCCGCAGCGTGACGGTGAGGAGGCCGGCCTTTCGGAGGCGACGAGGGCTGGATGGGGTCACGAGGGGGGCCCTGAGAGGAGGACACCAGAGCTCCTGTCTCTCTGCCGGGGAAGGCAGCCGTCCTCACTGGAGCCTGACCCTGCGGGCGCCGACCTAAGCCTCCAGTCTCTGGAGCTTTTAAGAAGCCGGGTTGTTGAAACCCCTCAGTGGATGACATGAGGTTCTGGCTCCCCCAGCCAGGACGGGACCCCCCGCCAGCTTTCTTCAGGGAAAGTGCTCCCCAGAGTCACCCTGCGTGCCTGTGGAGCCCCCTCCTTCCTGCCCCGCAGAGTGTGGACCAGCACAGAGGAGGGAGGGAGTCGCGCATGGACGCTTCCAAGGGGGTTCCCAGGGGTGGCTCCAGGCCAAAGGAAGGCACCTGCAGCAGGGTGTGCAGGTGGTCCCGGGCTGGGCTGGGGACACAGGCAGACGCAGTCCTGCCCCCAGGGGCCAACAGAGGCACCGGGAAGGCCAGGCCATGAGGAGGGGGTGACGGCGGAGGGGTGACTGCCCGTGAGGGTCGGGAGGTCTATACAGGCACCAGAGCCCCCCTGCAAGCTGCAGGGGGGCAGAGCCGGGTTCCCTGCGAAGCCACCAGAAGGCTCTGGTCCTGGGAGCCCGAGGTAGAGACAGCCACACTGAACCCTTCGGGTCCCCTTCGGACGCGTGCTCCAGGGCAAACAGGGGCATGGAGTGGGGTGGGGGGACGCAGGGCTGGAGCCAAACCTCAGCTCCTTTGGGGGGACCTGACCCCAGGCCAGCCTCCCCACCACAACAAGACGCGGGTCTTCTGCCCAGCCCCTTGCCTCCCTGCACGGCCGCGGCCGCCTGGCTCACCGACGCTAGAGGACAGCGCACGAGGCTGGGACACTCGGAAAAACCCCGATACTCATGCTGCCTCTCCTGACACCTTTGTATTTTGTTCTTCCCACTTTTTTGCAGGAATTCGATTCTTTAGAATTTGCATGAAAATATCATTTATCTTGATGACCAATGTTTTTGATGCCTCCCTCGGCGCTTGGCCTGGGGCTCTGTTGCCGGCCCTGGCTCCCGGCCTGGGACCAGCAGCCTGTCACCTGGGGGGCACCATGTCCCCCGGCTCAGACGGGCAGGGGGAGGACCAGCTCCGAGTCTGCAAACGGGGTCCCCGAGCCAGCTCCATATAGCAGGCCCCAGACCCTGACACTCAAAGTCACTGAGACGCCACCTCCCTTCTTCCCAGGTAGCCTCCCAGGGGCCTCCCTTGAGCAGGATTTCTCATCCAGACTCTAGCCACCCCACCAGCAGATGTGGGACTTGGTTGAGGCCTGAGCCCATCTCCCTGCCCCTGGCTGCAGATGCCCTGGCTCGGGTCGGTTGTTTTTCCTCCAACAGCATCAGCCCCGCCGGGAGCAGAACCAGCTCTGTGTTTGTGCTGACCTCGTCAAGTCACAGGAGGAGAACTGAAGACATGTGAGGAGGAGACCGTGCCAAAGGGACCGGATCCCGGCCCTCTCCCCGACCTCCCCGGATCTGCCTGGGTCCCTGGCCCGGGGCTGCAGGCGTGACCCGCACCCCACTCCTCCCGCCCTTGGCACCAGCTCTGTCTCCTTGCTCACTGCCTGGGCACAGGGCTGGCTGTAAAGACGTGTGGATTTCTCTGTCGTGGAAAAACTATGTTCTCTGCTCCTTGCCAGAAGCCACGGTCCTCCTTCTGGAGGGATTTCTGGGAAGACGTGTGGTGTCTCGAGCCTGTCACAGTTCCCGTTGAGGGCTGCCTCATGGTTCTGCCCCGAGACCCCAGGTCCCCAACCCCCGAGCTGGGGCTCCACATTCCCCGGACCCCCCAGCCAGCGGTTGCTTGCCAGACCTCTGGCAGCCTGCTTTCCAGGTCACAGGGCCGGAGCCTGAGCAGCAGGAAAGGCCCAGGTCTCCTGGGAAGAAGGGGCCTCCCTGCCGGACAGGTTTCCGCGCCCTGGGCTCCCTCCCCCGTGCGCCCTCCCTAAGGGGCTTGTGCACAGAGTCTGACTCTGGGAAGCCCGGGCTCATCCGTGCTGAGCAGACCACAGCCTGCACTTCTGAGGAAGCCCACGAGCGAGTGCGTTACCTTTTCCTTCTTGGTGACGTCCATCCTGGCTCTGTCATCCAGCATTCGTGCAGCGGCCCGCTCAGGTGAGCTGGGACCCCTCAGTGTTCCCCGACAGCTTCCGAAGCAGAAAGACCCCAAGCCAAGGAAGGATCCGAAGGAAGCCTCTGGCCCGCCTCGCCACTGGCTTCTGGCTTGAGCTTCAGGCATAGAGTTTCCTCCTTTTCATTGTTGACCAGCAAGCCGGTGAGGCTTCTCTTCAGGGACGCAGCTGGGACCCTTCCCCACGAAGGCCCGTCCGGCCACTGCTGGAGGCCAGGGCTAGCCAGAGCCGGTCAGCCTTCTCTCCGGGCTGTGCTGTGCTATGGGGCACAGTGTCCGCTGGACAGACTCAGCAGAAAGGGCCTGCTCCCCTCCCGTGGCCAGGGACAACCCTTGTGCAGTTAGGTTGTTGGTGACCGTGTCCCCCTCACACCTCAGCCTGCTTTCCCCGAGCTCCAGGCCACCCACCACTTCCTGCTCCAACCAGGTGTGGGGTGGGGAGTCCCCCCACAGGGCCTTCTGTGCTCCCCGACAGGGCCTGCGCTGCCATGGCAACCAGGAGCAGGGCCCCTGCGCTGGCGGCCTCCGGCCTCTGCACGGCTAACCATCCTGTCATTAGAGCTGCCATGCAGAAAACTGGGCTGATGGCAAAGGCCTCCATCCCCATCACCATAGTGACGGCCCAATCTCCCTGTCACCATGGACTTTGCCAGCTGTCCAGTTCCCAGGGCAGGGTCACGGGGTCTTCTGAAGTCACGTCCTAAGGAGCAGAGGCCCCTGTGAGTGTGGAATCTAGAGGAAAGGGTACTGGCGGCTTGGCCACCTGTAAGCTCTGGGCTGCCCTCCCTGCCGACCTGAGCCAGAACGTTGGCCCGCACGGAACAGAGCCCCTGGGGCCCCAACTCAGGACACGTGCACACCCACTGGCACCCCAGGAACCCAGCGGAGGCCAGGTGCTAGATCAGCCATCGGGAGCAAATGGTGGGAGACCAAGGACCATCTCAACCAGAGTCTCTGGCCTCAGCTTCTGAAGTCTGGCATGCTGCGTCATCACAGCGCGTCTCAGCGCCGGCACATGGGGAGCACAGGCCTGGCCAGGGTCTGCTGCAGGGGAGAGTGTGGGAAGAGAGCCAAGCAGGGTCAGGACCAAGCCCGGGGTCCAGCAGAGGGAGCGAGAAGCAGTGACCAGTGAGACTCTCCAGATGTGTGTGCGGTCCCATTTCAAGCTAGTGTCCTCCCGATGGTCATCTGGGCCACATGCACGTGTTTCTTCCAGATTCCTAGAGGCTGAACCGCCAGATGAAGCGCTCTGCACACCCTACACTCAGGCAGCCGAGAGTATAGGCTCCCTCGATGGCTCCAACTCATTAGCCCTCCCCCCGACATCAGGAGCTGGGCTCCTAGCCGGCCCATCCTTGAGACTGTAAACCTCGACAGTTTTGGGTTGAACTGTCATCTCATCGTCGTTCAAAGCGCTGTGTCCTTTCCATCTGCTCCCTGGTTATTTGCATTTTTCTCTAAGGATGATTTGTTTATACTTTTTAACCATTTTGTTATGGAATCGTCTTTTATTTTTCAATTTGTAGGATGGGTTTTGTATGTTCCATTTGTGGGTTTTTTTTTTAAGATTTTATTTACTTATTTGACAGACATAGATCACAAGTAGGTGGGGGCGGGGGAACAGGCTCCCCGCTGAGCACAGCCCGATGCGGGGCTCAATCCCAGGATCCTGGGATCATGACCTGAGCCGAAGGCAGAGGCTTTAACCCACTGAGCCACCCAGGCACCCCTGTATGTTCCATTTGTAATACCTACTAATCCCTTGTCAAATCCATGTGGTGTCTCCCACAGTCTATCCTAAGCTCAGACTTGAGGGTCTTCCTCACGTGGACATATGTCCTTCTTACGAATTTCATTCTTGGCTTTCTTGTTTTGAGACTCGTGTCTTATTAAGAAAAACGTTTCCCATCCCCAATTGGAAAAATGCTTTCCCACATTGCCTTCTAATATTTTTCTTTCTTTCTTTTTTTAAAAATTTTTCCTGTTCAGCACTTTGGTCCTTCTGCAAGTTGTTTTCATGTGTGGTGTGAGGTAGCGTGTCTATCTGTTGGGTGGGTGATCATTTTTCCACTGATGGGTCCTGTTGGCTGCACAGTGAGGGTCCCCAGTGTTTGGGTTCTTTATTGAAGGGAATGACTTGGCTCTGGTCATCTTGCAGGAGTAGCCACCGGCTATGAAGTCAGGTCTGGAACCACAGCTAAGCTGACCCTGTCACATAACTGTGCTCCTCTGGGACAAGAGGACAGACTGGCGACCAGCTCAGAGACCACATCCTGCTGTCTCGCCATCTGCCTGCGAGGCAGTCAGGAGGCCTTCCCCTAGTCTCCAGTTCTGCGATGTGAGGCTTTCTGCCCATGCCCTGTGGGGTGTGCCTGCTGTCTGGAGTGGGTTCACAGTGAGCAGAGATGCTGTGATTTTGGGAAGCAGGCAACTGTCCCCTTTTGTTTGGATGCTGTCCTTGGCGGGGCACAGGACAAGGGGTGGCACCTTTGGGTACTCTTTCTTTGCTATCAGTAACAAATTGTCTGAAGGTAAGCGTGGCTCTCGTACTCTGCCTGGCCTCAGCTCTGCGGGCATGCAGGACGTCTGTCTGTCCATTTGTTAGGCCCATGTCGGTAGACATGGGCGACAGGTGGATGGACCTAGAACATCCTGGGGTCCTGTGAGACAGCCCCAACCACGGACCGCCCAGGGACCACCGCCGTGCACCCGTCTGGCAGTCAGTTTGTGGTTACAGTGTGCTGCCGGGGAGCTCCGTCTGTCATCTTGCTGGGCTTGTGCAGAAAGCAGCCGTCTGTCTTTATCTGACCTCTGTCTCCAGTGCAGAAATGATGACGTGGTTTCTTGCCCCTTGCAGGCATTCCAAACGCTTCCGGAGAGAGCACAGTGCTCCGCTGGCTAACGATTATACAATCCAGGCCTGTCGCTCTAATGTCGCAACCCTGGGACCCACGCCACGGAAAACAGCCATAGGAGCCCACACGCTGGCCCTTCCAAGCCTTTGTCTCTTCTGACCCGCCCCTCCTCATTTTAGTAAAACTCCGCTCTGCTTCCCGACCCTTTCCTTCCCCATCCTGGGGCTTCCTTCCTCTCCCAGCTCCGCCGCAGCCACGCACACTGCGAGCTGGCGCGGCTGGAACGTGCTCACAAACAGGACGGGTGTCCCTCCCGCCCCTTCTTTACCACACGCCTCTCCTCTGCGGTAACTCGGCGGGACTCAGCCTCCCGCACGCAACCTGCCGTGCTTTCTGGGCCGCAGTGCCTCTGGGCGGCAGTGCAGGAGGCACCGTCGCGGGCAGCCGTCTGCGTCTGCGCGCCGAGCGTCGTCGCTCAGAAACTCGTCCTGGTCCCCCGCCCGACCTCCGGGTGAGCTGGTGAACGTTCTCCCCGATCCCACACCGTCCGTGAGAGTCGCCCCCGAGGAAGGTGCGGGCTGCACGAGGGGCGCCTGTCCTTACACCGCCCGCGCGAGGCATGGAGCCTGCCGCTCGGGGAGCGAGCTGGGGCGCGGGCAGGTCCGGGCGGGCCGGCGGCAGGCGCGCGGTCTGTGGCTGGTCCCCGCGCGGGAGGTCACTGCGGCCGGGCGGCTGGACGGACGCGCCGCAGGCCGGAGGGAGCAGGCACAGCGCGGGCCTCTGCTCGCAGCCCCCAGCCGTCCCCTGGGGCGGCCTCCGGGAGGGACCTCGCCCTCGGCGGACCCTGCTGGCGGCGGAACCTCGGAGCCACCCACTGCCCCGACCCGCGCTGATCCCACGCCCTCCTCCCGGGGGACGGGCAGGAGGCAAACGGAGGCGCCGCCAGGAGCGGGAGCGGAGCGGTGCTGGGGGGCTCTCCTGGGATCCCCGGGCTCCCCGCGCCCCTCCCGGGCTGGGCAGCATCTCCCGCTGGTTCTGCGCGGCTGCGGCTCTTCGCCGGCGGAGGGTTTGCCCGGCACTCACTCGGCCACGCGGTGCTACCCTGCACGTTCCGCCGGAAGCCGCCACCACAGTCCGCCCTGGACTTCCCGCGGACCGCGGCGCTTGTCCCGGCGCGAACGCCACCGCGTCCTCCGCTCTGCTCGGATTGGACGGCCCACCGCGCGGGCTGCGTGGATTGGCTGAGCCTCGGGTCACGTGCCAACCTGGAAACCAATTGCTGAGATCTCTGGGTGCCCACGTGCTAGCGGCGGGCTGGGGCCGCTGCGAGGGGGGCACAGGGAAGCGGGTGACCAGCGTCGGGGAGGGCTGGGGCACCCAGTGGGGGGTACGGGGGAGGAGGTGCTCAGCGGAGGGGGAGGGCGGGGGCGCTCAGAGGGGGGCTGAGGAGGAGGAGGTGATCAGTGTGGGGGAGGGTGGGGGCACTCAGAGGGGTGCTCAAGGGGACGGGGAAGGCCAGGGAGCCCTCAGCGGTGGGGGCACTTTAGGTCCAGCTGGGGAGGAGGGCTGGCTGGGAAGGAGGATTAGTTGAGGTTTTCACAGTGAGGCGCAAGGGGGCTGGGGGGTTGGGGAGCAGGCTTGGAGGGAGACCCAGAAGAAAGTGCTGGGGTTCACCAAGGGACTCACATGGGGTCTCCGGAGGGCTAAATGGAAGGGTGTTTCGGAGGGGCAGGGGATGGCTAGAGGGTGGGGTTCACAGGGGGGATGGGGGCGGGAGAGGGCCTCAGGGGGGCCCCTGGAAGCATGTGTTGGAGCTTGTGGAGCTCAAGGAAGGGGGAGCTCAGCCCCTCTGCTTTTCAGATCCTTCCTGACCACTTCTCCTTTGTGGTAACTCCCATCCTACTTTTTATTACTGGGAGTCCTGGAGACCAGCTGCTGTGGGGCCCAGATTCTGGCCTTGCAGGGCTCTCCCTACCCCTTGGTCCCCTTCCTTCTCTGCAGACTTTCTCCTCCTTCCTGTGCAGGGCAGCCCCTCAGAACGTCAAGGCCCCGGCCTTTAGACATGACCTTTGGCATGACCACATGTCCAGCCTGGGCTACACATCCATCCCTAGTGCCTGAGCTGGGGAGGGGTCTCAGGGTACAACTAGAGCTTCTGAGGAGCCCCTAAAAGGGAGGCAGTTCTGAGGGGTCTTTCCCAGCTGGCTCACATGCCTCTGGTCTTCCCTGGCTGTGGTCCCTTCCTGGCCAGTGCCGGCCTCCAAGTGAACCTTCTCGTAGTATGCCCCTCCTCTCCTGTTCCGACACCTCCTGTTCCGTCCAGGCTGGTGGTGGCCTGGGGAATCTGCGGGGAGGGTTGTGGTAGTGAGCAGTGCTCCTGGGGGCCATGGCTGGCTTCTAGCATCAAATCTGTGCTCCTTCGGCTGGGGAAGTACCACGAAGGTGACCAGGAGGACACGTTCTCTGCCCTCTTCGGGTCCCCAGCTGTGCCTAAGAACCAAGCTGCCGTCAGCAGGAGAGACGCATGCAAGTTTTACTCAAGCTTTTATAGGTGCACGGGAGCCTTCACAAGAGAATGAGGACCCAGAGACGTGACCAGAGCAGGAACGATGGCAAGCACTCTGGTGACAAAGGAACAGTGAAGAGCCGATATGACAGAGGGTTGGGGCAGGGAGAGGACGTTGCTGGGAGTCATTGCAGGATGGAGTTGTTTGCAAGGATTTCTCTCAGCCTCATTCATCTCTGGTGGCAAGAACGTCTTCCTCCTGCTACCCAGAGCGCGCCTTTCAAGTGAGGGTTTGAAGGGAAAAAAGGAGGGTCAGAGCGGGCTTCTCGCCTCTGCTGTCTGTTGGGTGCTACTGGCTCAAAGCAGTCGGTATGTCTAATCGGCACATGTAGGAGGGAAGGCCGTGGGGCTCCTTGGGAGGCCTGATAACGTCTGTGGTCCCTGGTAGGGCTCCTGTCCTGGGTAGGCTGCTGAGGTCCACGTAACAATCACAGTGAAAACAGCCCTGCCGCCCTGGCCTTGGCTGACTGGACTAGGGGGTAGGGAGGCCAAGGCTATGGCATGGCCAGGTTCCCCCAGGAACCCCGGCATGCCCCTCAGCTGCTTTTTTCCAGCTCTGTGGGGGTTCTGCTGTGCAGCTCAAAACAGGTCCCTTATGAGCTGAGCAAGGCCTTGAAGGTGGGTGAGCACCTGCCTGCCCGGCAGGGGTGAACTCACAGAGCTGGGCCACGTGTTGTGATGTGACCGCGTGGCAGGGTCAGCTTGCAAGGGAGCTCTTCCTCTAGGACCTGGTGCACGAGGGAGAATCTGGACTTCAGAGAGCTTGGCCACCCCCAGTCCCACGGGTGCCGCACGCATAACAGCAGTGCCTCCTGCCTGCGGTCTTTTCCATACCCACCTCTTTTAAGTCTTACAGAACAGTACGAGCCATTCCTGGATACCTGCGTCCCGACTCCTTCGATTAATCATGTGCGCGCTACGCTTTGCATTACATCACACCCACGTCCAAATCCTGCAAAGGCGAGGTGAAAAACAGGATGTCCCTTCACCCCTAACTGCTCGTGTGGATTTCCCAGAAACCAAGAATTCTCTTTCATAATCACAACACAGTGATCAAAGCCAGGAAATTACAGGACAGACGATAGTATTTTCCACTCTGTAGACCTCACTCAGCCTGTCTGATGTCTGCTCCCTGCAGGACGCCCAATGCCTTCAACCTGCGATGATCTCGCCTCTGTCCTAAATGACAGCAGTGCAGGGAATCATGGTTTTTGCTCGCTAAACATCTACTAAGACTAGTGTTTGGAATGTAGTGTCTTACCATTCCAGCAACACACCGAGGGAACAGGTTGTTTCCAGTTTTGCAGGCGAAAGAGAGAGAGGTTAGTGCTTTGCTCACCTTCTGGGGGCTTGCAGTGGGGCTGGGGCTACATCCGAGCTGGGTGCTGGCTGGGTGGTAGAGTCGGAGGTGAGCTTACTTCTCAGAAAGAGGGACAACAAGGCTGGGGGGTTTGCAACCCCATAGACCAAGACCGGGGGAGGGGGGAGAGGCAGGCCCAGGCCAGAGAGGATGGGAGAGCCTCTGGGAGTGGAGCCTCTGGGAGTGGACTCGCAATGTCCTTGACCTGAACCCATTTCTGTGTCTCTAAGATGATGATACAGTCCTCCTCTCTTCTATGAGGGCTGAATGAGGTAGCATAGGGGAGTGCTTGGGGTAAGGCCAATGGTAAGGTATCCATTAGTACGTGACAAGTGAACACATTCTTTTTTTAAGATTTTATTTTATTTTTTTAAGATTTATTTATTTGACAGAGAGAGATCACAAGCAGGCAGAGAGGCAGGCAGAGAGAGAGGAGGAAGCAGGCTCCCTGCTGAGCAGAGAGCCCAATGCGGGGCTCGATCCCTGGACCCTGAGATCATGACCTGAGCTGAAGGCAGCGGCTTAACCCACTGAGCCACCCAGGCGCCCCAAGATTTTATTTGTTTGACAGACAGAGATCACAAGTAGGCAGAAAGGCAGGCAGAGACAGAGGGGGAAGCAGGCTCCCCACTGAGCAGAGAGCCCGATGCAGGGCTCAATCCCAGCACCCTGAGACCATGATCTGAGCCGAAGGCAGAGGCTTAACCCACTGAGCCCCCCAGGCGTCCCAACAAGTGAACACATTTAAATCTATTCTGAGCAAGAACTGTCCTCCTTGTCCCTTTGAACAATGTTCAGTGGCAAAGGAGAAAAGGGGCTCTGGGATTTTCTCCAGCAAGAGCTGCCGCCTGCCCCCTATAGGACAGCAGTGTCCACACAGCATCTTAGGACCTGTCTGGTCTGCTGGTGCTGGTGAGCCTCTGTCTGTGGACGACTGGCCTGGCGGTGGCCGGTGTCTGTGCTTTATGTTTTGCACAAACAGGGGGGATGTGGAAAAGTCCTCTCCACGCTCGGCACTTGAAAATACCCAGGAAGAGGGGTGGTGAGGGGCAGGCGGGGGGACCTTCCTTTAGACATGGAAACATTTTTCTCCAAACCCCTTCTCCTCTGGGCATGTTTGCGCATGTCTGGAGACGTTCTTGGTTGCCGGATGGGGAATGGGGTGCTCCCGGCATCTAGAGGGTATGAGGCCTGAGGCGCTCCTTACCCCTCGTGGGATGGCCCCTAACAATCGGGTACCAGCCCCCATCATCCCACCGAACATGACCCCTGACAGTGCTGTGTGGGGTGGTGCCGTGGCTCCCCGCAGGCGCCGGCCCTCCCCCGCTCTGGCTGCTTCCAGCGGGGAGGTTGTGCAAGACTCTGCAGTTCCGAGGGCCGAGGTCCCTCGGTGTGGCCGGTGAGACGCCCATTCCGGAACACCGTTCAGTAAACACAAAGTGGCCAGGACGTAAAACTCTTACGGGACGTGCCCCGTTCGTCCCCGGCCATCCGCAATGGGTTATTTCAACGTCTCCGGGCAACGAGGCCTCTTCAAGTCCCCGCGCACCAGGCGGCTCCCGGAGCGCGGCGCGGACCCTCCGCCATCGGTGCTGCCGCGCTCGTGCCGCAGCCGCCTCCGTCCGTGCCCACACGGACAGTGGCCGGCCCGGGAAGCCCCCGCAGGCCGGGCGTAGGGGTCCTGGGTGCACAGGGACGGCCCCCACCGGGGCAGGGGGGAGAGCCGGCGAGGGCGAGCAGCCTTCACGTCCCTACAAGAGCCTGCAGAGGGGCGTCCCTGTGCTTCGCTGTGGGGAGCTCACGAAGGACAGGCCGGCCCCGTAACTCAGCCCTCCGAGGGCTCCCCGAGCGCCGGCCTGCGGTGCGGCTCTGCGTGTTCCCGGGAGCTGCCCGCCCGGGACGGCTCCGCGCAGTCCCGGAGGGAGGGGGGAGGGTGAGGATGGGAGGACTCGGGACCCTCCAAGAGGGAGGGGGCGGCCTGGGTGGGGACCGCAGCGGGGAGGGGGTAGGTCCTGGTGGGGACCCCAGGGGGAGGGGGCAGGTCCTGGTGGGGACGACCGCGGGCCACAGGAGGGAGAGGAGGCCCCAGCCTAGGGCAGGGGGGCGGGGCCGAGCTTACGCACACGCACCTGCGCCGCGGCGTCTTTTCCCCGCCCCTCCCCAGCCCGCGCCTTCGTGTTTCCGGCCGCTCCTTTCTGCATCCGGGGCACGAGAAAACCCTCTGTTGGCTCTTGGGCGGTGCCTCGACCGGAGCCGGAAGTCGGCCTCGAGCCCGGCCGGGAAGCCGGCGTCGGACCCGTCAGCAGCCTGCGGTGGTCCCCAGGGGCGGCGGCTGCGCTGCTCCCTGCTAGGCGGTCCCGCGGGCGGGCGGGCGGGCGGCCCGAGGGCGCGGCACCATGAAGCTGTACAGCCTCAGTGTCCTGTACAAAGGCGAGCACAAGGTGGTGCTGCTCAAAGCCGCGTACGACGTGTCCTCTTTCAGCTTCTTCCAGAGGTCCAGGTGGGTGGGCCCGGGCGGCGAGGCCCGAGGGCTCGTGGGAGGCCCGCGGGGTGGGGGCGGGCCCCGGGGGCCGGGGGTGGCCCCGGGGGGCGGGGGAGCGTCGGGGTGGTTAGGGGAGGCCCGGCGTCGGACTGCGGCGGGCGGGGAGCGGGGGGTTCGCCCTCCCGCCCTGGAGCGCTGCGCTGGCTCCCTGCTCGGTGTGCGGAGCGGACCCGCGGGGAACCCTCGTCCTTTGGCCCGAGGAAGGCTTACGCAGCTCTGGACGGCGTTTTCGTGCCCGGTGTCTCCCCCGTTCCCGTCGTACCACCCCGGGGGCTTGGAGGGAAGCGCGGACCGCGCAGGTCCGCCCGCGGCCCTGGTGAGCTGGCAGGTGGCGGCCCGGGAGCGTGTGTTGTCACCCTGCGCCTTCTTCCCCGGCGTCCGCAGGCCACTTTATGTCCTCCGATGGGGTTTTCCCCGCAGCTGGGTCGGAGGCGCTGGCGCGCCCCGGTTTATGGGGGAAGTCGTGCGGCCACGAGAAACTATACCACAGCCGGCCCGGATGCAAACCCCGACTCCCGTGCTTTTCCCGGTTGAGTCTGGCGGAGCGAGGGCCGCGCGCTGCAGGATTGCAGGCGCGGGACCTGCGGGCTTGCGGGAAGCTGTGTGTGAGGACGGCCGCGGGCGCTGGGCCTGCTGCTGGGAGGGGCGGGGCGCCTGGGCGCGCCCGGCGGGGTGGGGGGGACCCCGCAGGTCTGAGTCCCGGACGCTGCCCTCCGGCTCCGTTCCCACTGCTTCTGGGCAGCAGTTCTCTTGTTCTTTTTGTCGGAGAGGGGAATGCGGGGGGCCCGACGCGCGGCTCCCTCCCAGGTTCCCCGGGGTCATGACCTGCGCCGAAGGCAGACGCGTCCCCCACGGAGTCCCCCAGGCGCTCCTGGGCAGCAGCGCTTGATCAGTGTTGTGCTGGCCGGGGGGATCCCGTTTCTGTTGTCCTTCCGTGGAAGCGGTTGGTTCTTCGCGAGCTTCAGGAGGTCTTTCGCGGATGCGCCGCTTTCTCTCCCGCGCCCTCTGCTCTGCTCTGGCTGCTCTTCCTCTGGGCTGTCCGCGTGTCCCGAAGGTGCTCGGCAGCGGCAGCCGGAGACCTTCCCCTCACCGCTCAGGGATGCCCCTGCCAGCTCCAGACAGCGGGCGCACTCAGAACCCTGCCGTGCCCCCACTGGCGCCCCTTACCGCCGCAGCGGTCCAGGCTTCTCGCCTCCATTCTTCTTGCCTCGCGGCGGCCGGACCCTAAGCTCCAAACCTGCAGATGGGTCCCCAGCTTTTCTTGCCGCTGTTTGCGAGCTCCTGCTGCGGACCCAAGCCTCCGTGTCTGGGCATGGCTGTGCCACGGGCTCCGCCTCCGCTCGGCTGTACTGCGGGGCCTGCCTCACCTGGGGGCTCTCTCCGTGGGGTGAGTTTGAGCACATGACGCTCTCAGGGTGATGCTTGGCCCCGGCTGTTGTGCTAAGTGCCATGCGCCCCTCACCGCGAACCTGGGTTTTGTGAGTGGGGCGTGGGGCAGGGCTTGCGGGTCCCACAGCTCCCGGCCAGGCGGACACTGCGAGGCTGGAGGTCTCCTCTCTGCAGCGAGGGGGGCTGCCACAGAGTCTGGAGAGCCCCCGTTCCTCCGGTTGAGCTGTCCTCACCTGTGGCCCTTCCATTCCGGCCGTCTCTGCTGGGCCCACGAGTGTCCTCTTCTCCGCCTTTGCGGAGTCACTTCCTCTTCCTCCTTGGCTGAGCGGTGGCCTCTCAGTGTCCCGGGGATGGGGTGCTGGCATGACCCCGCGTGGCCGTGGCCGTGCTCCGTGCTGTGCGCGCTCTCACGGTGGACGCGTGTCCCAGCGCGGTGTCGCGTGCGCGGGGCTGTCCCTGGGTGTGCACTGGCTTCTGCTTCTCCGTGCTCTGGCCACAGCGCTACGTCGAGTAAAGCCCGTGGGAATCCCCACGAGGCTCGAAGCGGGTGGTCCCGGTCGGCGAGGTCGCAGATGGTGCGGCTTGCAGAGCTGCGAGGGTTTGTGGTTAAACGGCGTCTCTTGTTAGTCCCTGAGGTCGGGAGGGAAAGGAATGAGACCCAGAAGCCATGGCCCCTTGGTGTCTGTGCTCAGAGGTCACCTTCCATGCTGCTGGGGACGGGGACGGGAAGAGGTAACGTGTGTTCCGTTCCTCAGCGTCCAGGAGTTCATGACCTTCACAAGTCAGCTGATCGTGGAGCGCTCGGCGAAGGGCAGCAGAGCGTCTGTCAAAGAGCAAGGTAAGAGGACCCGCTGCCTCGTGCCTGCGCCGCGCCTGTCCCTTCCCGCCTCAGGCAGCCCGGGGCCCCCTCCCAGGCGCGCCCCACGCCGGCGCTGCCAGGACCGCGCTCCTCTCCGGCCTCCTGCTTCGGCTCGCGCTCGCTCCCGCGGAGCCGTCAGCGGCCACTCCAGGTGCTTCTCCTTCCGCCTGTGGCGGGCACTTTGCCAAAAAGGCTTCCCCGCCGTCGCGCTGGGAGTGCGTCCTGTGCTCCCCAAGTTTTGGACCAGGAATCCAGAAACTCGTTGTTTTCCTCTTGGCTGTCGTTCACGTCTTCATAGTTCAGGTTTTCTGTAAGAATCATGAGGCTTTTCTTGGGAGAAGCATGTGTGACACGGACCACTGAGGAAGGACAGCTGTGTCACGTAGATCGTGGGAAGCGCACTCTGCGGGGACTGGGGCCACAGCCCTGGAGGCCACGTGTCCGTGATGAGATTTCTGTTACGCCCCAGGGGGAGTGGGGGTGCCCTGTGCGTGCTCTGCGCAGCCTCCCTGTCCTGCCCGGGAGATGGGACCGTGAGCACGGACGTGTAGTGGGTCAGTCCAGGCAGCTGGCTGAGAGCTGTGTTCTCCAGCACGGACCCGGCCGCTCCTGTCTGGGGCGTGCGCTCCCACTGCACGCTGGCCCCTTGCTTACCGGAGATGCAGGCAGAGCCCAGACGGCGGCGGCGCCCTCCGACTGCAGCGCTCATGGCCTCTCCCTCTCCTCTCTGTTGTCCACGGTGGCAGGCTGCTCTGTGCGAGCGTCGTCAGGACGGGGAGGTCCTCCTTTGTCAGCTGTGACCCTTACGTTCCTCTTCCCCTGGGGTGTAGCCAGCTGTGTCCCGTCTGAAGAGTTTTGAAAGTGAGAAAAATTCATGCCAGGGATGGGACCTGCTTCCCGAAGTGCTTGTACAGACGGAACCTTCGGATAATTTGATGATGATCTCAGGCCAGCAGGGCCGGGTTTTTTGTAGGTGGACCTTTTGTCCCCTCCTCTTGCATCTCCTCTCCCCCGCTTCCCCTCTAGCCCGTCACAGGAGCAGACCTGATGCCCCGAGAGCTGATTTCCTGACGTGGGCTTGCTCTCGGGACTTTTAAGCAGCTGGAGGCTGCTGGTCTTACGCAGGGTCTCCAGCTCGGGGGCAGGCCAGAGCATCTGCGAGCGGGCCGGCGCTGGGGCTCTGGAATGTGGCGGAAAGGCAGCTGGGACCGCCTCCCCTCGGTAGCTTTCTGCACCCGCGGTGGCTCCTTTAGAGCCTGCTGGCCCGCCAGGCCTCTGGACACCTCCTTGTACTAAGGTGGCGTTGGGCCATGCCGGTGCCCGTGCTCCCTCCTGTGCTGTTCTGTGTGAGTCTGACTGAGCCACCAGGCAAGGGCTCAGCATTGTGACACTTTCATGATTGCTAAAGATGTCCAAAGTCCTCACGTCACCCTGCGCATGTCTAACTTTTCCTTAGAATACCTGTGCCACGTCTATGTGCGAAACGACAGTCTTGCAGGAGTGGTCATCGCTGACAGCGAGTATCCACCCCGGGTGGCCTTTACCTTGCTGGAGAAGGTGAGTTTGCGATGTGGCCGGGCTGGCCCGGGATGGGCAACGGTGGACGGTGCCCGAGGTAGAAGGGACTGAGTTATGTGTCCAGAATCAACCCATTTTCAGCGTTTCTTCTTGCTCTAAACTGAGAGATGGCCCGGCATCCCTTCCCAGCTTCCTTTTCTGGAACTGGTTTCTGCCAGTGTCTGGGCTTGTGGCCCTGGTGGCACCGCGACCTGGCCACTCTACAGCAGCATTGCAGTCTCCTTCTGGGCTGGGGCCTGAGGTCGGCTGTGGCTGCACCTTCAGCCCTGGCCACTGCTCTGGCCGCTCTAAGGGCTGCTGCCTTCCCCACTGGCGACTGTTTCCTCCCAGCCATGGCCAACTCTGCACTCTGTCCTGTGACCACCCCGGGCTGCTCCTTTCCCCCACGTGAGTGTCGCACCACCATGGGGCCCAGCACTGTGGTGCTCGTCAGAAATATCTCGAGGATGCTGGCCGCTGGCCTCCGGCCTCGCTGAGCACCGATACATTCCCCAGCACGTGAGATGTGCTGATGCTTCGGTCCAAAGGATCTAGCTCCCCTTTCAAAGAGCTGTTCTGGAATATGAGAGGGCAGGGACTTTTCCTCTTAGAACTGCGGAACCCGGTAGAAGGGAAAGTCTGTAGGTTAATATTCCAATGCTCTTGTCTTCTTCCAGATGAGATCGGGGTGAGGGTGCATACATTTTGTTTCTGATTGCCAGAAATCTTCAAACCTTGAGCCTAGATTTGCCCTTGGCCATGAGCTGTGCTCCTCCTCTCTCGGGCTCTCTGTTCAGGTCCATGTGGCTATGGGATGGGCTCCTTTGTCGTGCAGGTACTGGACGAATTCTCCAAGCACGTGGACAGGATAGAGTGGCCCGTCGGGTCCCCTGCCAGCATCCAGTACACGGCCCTGGACGACCACCTGAGTCGGTACCAGGTAGGTGGGCAGAAGCCTCCAGGAGCGGGCCTGCAGGGTGTGGCTCTGGGCGATCTCCCAGCAGCCTTGGTGTCGGCGTCCCCATGAAACACACAGGGACCCACTCTGAGACCTGGACCCCGAGCTCACGCGGGCTTTCCCTTCTCTGGGGTGTGCGTGCGCAGCCTGCGGTTTGTGAACTTGGCAAGCTGGCTGGCTCCCCGGTTTGAACTTTGTTTCCAGGTAGTCATTCTACTCCTGATGTTTTTGGCTCTTCCCTAGAACCCGCGAGAAGCCGACCCCATGACTAGAGTGCAGGCCGAGCTGGATGAGACCAAGATCATTCTGGTGAGTGGGGGCAGGGCGAGCGCCCCTGGAGCCGGGTGTGGGGAGCCGCCCGGTGCGCGGTCCAGGCTTGGGTTTGGGGCTTTGGGGGCGTCCTCATGCAGGTGCTTTGCTGAAAGGGGTGGTTGCCCGCCTCTCCCCAAGTGTCTCTGGCCACCCTGAGTCTGTGTTGCCTGCACCCATCTGGGTTCAACGCCCCGTTGTACGAGGACCCCAGCTGAGACCTGCCATGGCCCCGATGCCTCCCTGCCACGTGACGGTCTCCGTTCAGCGCCTCCCTGCCACTGCCGCCCCCCGCCGTTTGTCTCCGAGCCCAGCAGGCGCCTCCTTGCAGGGTGGGGGCTGTGGGGGCAGGAAAAGCCGCCTGTGTTCACTAAACACAGACCTGGGGTCCTCAGGCCTGGTCAGAAGGGCAGGAAGCCCGAGTCTTGCCTGTGCTCAGCTCAGCTACAGCTGCTGCTGCCAGTTCTCTCCTCTCCCTCCGGCTCCTCCCCCTCCTCCCCCCCTCCCCCCCTTCCTCCCCTGCCCCCCCCCCTCCCCCCTTTATCTCCCGCCTTCTTCCCTCCTCCGTCTTTCCCTCTCTCCATCTTCCCCTCTCCATCTCCCCTTCTCCCCCGTCCTCCCCCTCTCTGTCTCCCCCTCTCTCTCTGTCTACCCCTCTCTCCCCTTCTCCCCCCTTCTCCCCCTCTGTCTCCCCTTCTCTCTCCATCTCCCCTCTCTCTGTCTCCCCTTCTCTCTCCATCTCCCCCTCTCTCCATCTCCCCCCCCATCTCCCCCTCTCTCTCTGTGTCTCCCTCTCTATTCTCTCTGTCTCCCTTCTCTCTCTCCTTTCCTTGTCTGTTCTCTTCTTCTCTCTCTCCATCTCTCTCTCCGTTTCTTTCTCCTCTTCTGTCGGTTTCTTCCTTCCCTCCCTTGCCGCTGGAACCTCGAGCTCTCTTTGGCTCTCGCTGTGTCTGTTCTCGCCTTGAGTTTGGTCCTGTGGCCTCTGCCTCATCATTGGTCCCTGGCTTCCCACCTGGCACCAGTGTGTCTGGACAGTAGCCACTGATCTGTGGCTCTTCCGCTTACTATCCCCCAGTAGCCCTCAGGAAAGCTCTGGAGTCAGGTGCACACTCCCTGGCATAGCCTCACGGCCTTGGGGCCTCTCTCTTTCCTGCACGGTGCCCATGCCGGGGCCCCACATGCAGCCCTCCCGGATGCCACTGCGTGGTCATGACCAGCGTACACATCTCCCTGACGGGCGTGTGAGCCCTCAGGACTGGGTGCTTGTCCTTACCCACCCCGCTCCCGGCATGTGGGACACCCGTGCCCAGGCCCCAGCGAGCCTCGAGTGAGTAGAACTGAAGCCCAGCAGAGGCGCCCGGGAACTGCTGCGGGCTCCGGCCCCACGCCGTGCTCAGCGCTGCCTCCTGGGGTCAGACGCTGGCCTGGGCGGGACCTGGGAAGCTGTGTGCTGCAGACACCGTGCGCTGAATGACGCGGTTTGGGGACTTCGGATCGGGAGTGAGGTGTGAGCGTGTTGAGGTGTCTCCGTGTCTCTTCATGGGCTTCTCTGAGTCCTCGCTGAGCCGCGGCCCTGGGCGCCCCTCGGCTGCTCCTGCTCTCCGAGCGGGGACAGGAGGTATGGCGCGGTGGCCCCGTGTGTCCGCAGAAACGGGCTTGCTGGTGCTGCCCTGTCCGTGCGCGTGTCCGTCTGGTTCGCTTCTTGTGCCGGCAGCCCGTGTCCTGGAACTCTGTAGACGGGGCTGGTTTCGTGCCTTCCCCCCGGGCCCGTTCCTGTCCGCGTGCCTAGGTTTGCGCTCCTTTCTCCGAGGAAGCCCGGTGGCCTCGAGGTGCTGCACGACGCGCGCTGTGCACGGGCCCCTCGGGGAGCGGGAGTCAGTGTGTTCAGCGGGAGTCCGCGTGTGGAAACGTGGCCGTGAGCACGGTGCTCTGAGCCTGCGCTGGGTCCCTGGGACGGGCCCTGGGTCCTGCTCGTCGGGGACGCTCCTGACACTCACGTGGCGGGAGGAGCCAGCGGGAGAAGCACTTCCCGCGGCCGAGCCTGGGGGGCTCGTGTCCGCCTGCCGTGCCAACGGCGGGGCGCCCGTTTGTCTGTGTCCAGCACAACACCATGGAGTCTCTGCTGGAGCGAGGGGAGCGGCTGGACGACTTGGTGTCCAAGTCCGAGGTGCTGGGAACGCAGTCCAAAGCCTTCTACAAGACAGTGAGTGCTGGCCACGCCCCCGGGGTGCTCCATGGCACGGGGTTGGGGGGGCCCGGGTTGGGGGGACGGGCCCGGCAGTAGCGCGCGCTCCCTCAGGCGCCACGGGAGCGGGCGCGGGCAGAGGCCTGTCCCCGCCGCTCCTGCTGCCTGCTGAGCAGTGGGGCCTCCGGGCCTCCCACAGCGGCCCTTGTGCCTGTTTCCCTGGGACAGAAGTGGTTCGCTGGCGCGACCACAGTAGGGCTGTGCGTGCACCGGTGCTTTCCTGGGAGCCTGGGAGGGAAGCGGCCAGTGGGGCTCGGGGATCCACCGACCTGCTCTCTCAAAGCATTCTCGCGACACGTGCGGGGGCAGGTGGTGCTGCGGGACCCGGGGTGACGCAGAGTCAGATGCTCCGTCTGCCGGGGGTTCTCCCAGTCCCCCCAGCCCACTCCGTGGCCCCAGCCTCCTGGGGTCGTGTCCACCTCTCCAGCCCCAGTGTGTTTCTGTCCAGGCTCGGAAACAGAACTCGTGCTGTGCGATCATGTGATGGCAGCCCGCGGAGGCCCCCGTGCCGAGCCGGCCTGGCCGTTCGCATCAGAACCACAGTCCCTGGAGAAGCAGAGCCACCGTGGAGAGACCCGCGTGGGGACACATTTTCACTTGGGAGCTCCTGGCAGGAACTGAGGGGTCGTGGAAGGGCCTGGGGCTTGGGAACATTCAAATTTACATGTCCGGTGATTTTTGAAAAGCTCGTTTGAGGCCCCTGATGGCGTGTTCTTGGGCCAGATGAAACCATAAATTCGAATGACTCACATAGACGCTGCAGGGCTTGTCTCTAACCCGGGAAAGCGACCAGGCCGAGACCCCGGGGGAGGTCAGAGCCAGCCTTGTGGGGGCTGTGTTTGTGCGCTGTGTTCACACTGAGGTAAAGCCGGGGTCACCCTGGCTGCAGGGCTGAAGGGGCAGAGCGGCCCTGAGGGCTGGGGCTGAGCAGGCCAAGATCCTTGCTGGGAGGAGCCCGGCCACACCGACTCCAAGGCTCCTTTGCACTGGGCCTGGGCGGACTGCTCGCTGAGGGCGCTGCCCACCCCCCACGTCAGACGGAGATGCCTATGGGCGGTGGGGCAGGGGTGTCTGCCCCAACTCGCAGCTTAGCCTTGCCTGCCCAGGTCACAGGCACCGGTGCGGCCTCTCTCCACCCTGTTCACCCACCTCTCTGGCAGCGAGACCGTCATCGTGACCACCTGGGGCCTGCGTGCCTTAGCAAGTGGCCTTTGCTGTGGCCACTGTTCTTAGCCACCAAGGCCGGGTACCGGCCATTCCGAGGATTCCCAGTGCCCCACGTGTGGCCTGACCCCCAGCCTGGTCCCCACAGGAGCACTGCTAAGAGGCCCCCCCCCCCCCCAGTGACAGAAGTCCCAGCCCTGAGCCCGTGTCCTCGGGCCCCACTGCCATGTTTAGATTGCCTCCCCACGTCCTGCAGTGCTTCCTGAGGAGTGAGCTCATGGTTTGCCCTGGACCTGGTCCCCGCAGGGTCCCGTCCTCTGGGGTCCTTCCCTGAACATGCTGATTCTTGGCCTACCCAAGGTCCCGCTGCCTCTGCACAAAGTGCCAGGCCCGGAATTGCCTTGTTTGGACCGTAAGGTGACATCTACATGCTTCTGAGGACCCCGACCCCTCACCCCAACAGGTTTACGCACTGGTTATCATCCCGCTCTGGGCCCTGTGCTGGTCAAAGGAGTTGGCCAGTCTGAGGTACCCCCTGGGGTGCACGGACCCAGCCTGCTCACTGGTGCCCAGGGGGCTGTGACCTCCCCTTAAGAAGGACGCGGTATCTGACGACTCCAACTTGGGAGGCTGCTGGGGAGATGCCGGTGTGGAGGCGCGGGTCTGCAGGGAGGGCCGTCGGGAGGGTGGCGCAGGCTCGCGCCCGAGCTGGCATTTCCCCAGCTCCTGTTGTGGTCTCGTGGGGAAGCATTTGGCAAAGGGTGTGTTTTAATAACTGTTGCCTGACTTCTCTGTTCTATTTGAAAGGTTCTTATCTGGATAAAGTTGTCTTTTGAAATTCCGTAATAGTTTTCTGCTTTGTTCGAGCCTCAGGGACCCTCCTTGTGTGCAGCTGCGGGGTGCAGGGCATGCTGGGGCAGCGCCTGGGTCCCACCCCCAGACCTTTCTGGCGGGACCAGGGGAGGGGGCGCTGGAGCCGGGAAGCAGCATGGGGAGCTACGCCATGGCAGCCTGGGCCGCACACGTGGAAACTCCTTGGGAGCTAGGGGCGCGGCCCTGCGGGCGTGGGGGCGTCGCGCGCCTCCCAGGTCTGCGCGCAGCTGAGGAGTCTCCAGTCCCGTCCCAGCTTAGGGAGCGAGCGCGCCGACTGGTGGTAAGGAGGTCTGCAGGCTTCGCCTGTTTCACTGCTGGCCCGGGCCTTGCCTTCAGCCGTGTTTGCGCCCTTGGAAGCGCGAAGCAGGCTTGGGGTTTCTGGCTGGACCAAGGGCACCGGCTTTTCCTGCCTGGAGGACCTGCTGGAGTATGGGGTCTTCGGAGCTTCGCTCAAAGCTGGTGCCATTTAACAGGGACAAGCCGCTGTCTGTCTTGCCGCCCGGCTCGGGCACGGTGATCGCTCACCCAGCCAGCGTGCGGGTCCCACCCCACCCCGGCCGGGCTCAGGGTCCGTGGGTGGGTGGGGGTGGGCGGGGCCGTGCTGCATGCCCGCGGGGAGGCCTGGCCTGGATGGCCGCCTCGGATTACAGCTGGCCGGCGAGTGGAGCCCTAGATACCGTGCTGGGCCCCGCGCCGCCGCCCGCTCACGCGCCGCGCTCCAGATTCTCCGCGCCTGCTCCCGGCTCCTCTGTGCCTCCTGGCACAGCCCGCCCTCCCGAGCGCACCAGTGGGGCGCCAAGAAGCCGTGTAGCCAAGGGCTCCTGTCCTGGTGACCCCTGGGGCACTCCTCGCACCAGAAGCCACCTACACACACGAGTTGGGAGCGTTCGCTGTCGAGGCGCACGGTGCTGTAGAAAAGCACAAGGCCGGAGGCTCGGACAAGCACTGGCAGGGCCCGGGGAGCCAGTGCAGAGGGGAGGCCGCCCGTCTTCGCGCGAGGGCTGCGGGCGGCTCTGCGGTCAGGGGTCCTTCGGCCAAGACAGCCCTGTGGTCACGAGGAGGTGCGTTTAGGCAGTCCCGGGGTGACGCGGTCCTGCAGCCGTGAGCTCAGTGCTAAGTCAGCTGGCACAGGCCAGCGGTGGCCCCATGTTGCAGGGGTTTGGCGGGCAGCTGCTGAGGGACAGGCCAGGGGCGTGGATGACAGGAAGAGCAGGGACTGGATCCCAGGGAAGGGGAAGGAAGGCTCTTGCTCTCCTCCATCCCCCAGATTTCTGCTCTGGGAATCCCAGCAGCCACCACCCTCCCGCGCTGCACAGCACCGTGACGTCCGTGCTGGCCCGTGCGCCGACGGTCTGCACAGCCCGGCCACACACACGGAATGGACGCACAGAGACGGTGGAGGCTGGGTCCCGGCTCTTCCCACACAGAACCGCCATGTGGCCTCCCCCTGAGAGGCCACCGAAGAGGCAGGGGCTTTGGGGCATCCAGGGCCCAAAGAGGGGGTGTGCGGCGGTGGGTGCAGCGGCGGCCTGCGGTGGCAGAGGGGCGGTGCAGTGGGGAAGCGGGCTGGGCTGGGGCTTGGAGGGGCCCCAGCGTAGAGCCCCCAGCTGCACGTGAAGCCGTTTGTCCTGTTTTTCTTTTATTTGCAGTTTCCCGAGACAGAACAAAATAATGATTTTTTACACTTACAAGGCTCAGAAAGAAAAGACAATGGAACTCAGCAAAAAGAGAGAAGGGGGGCTGGCCAGCACTGCGGGCAGCTGGCCCTCCGCAGAGCGGCCACACCTCCGACATCTAGCTAGAAGAGCAGGTGTGGCCTGCCCGAGAGGGGTCATGCAAAAGAACTACCCCCGGAAAAATCCCCAATTATCCCAGACAGGCAGCTCCGTGGAGATAACAGGTGAGGGGAGGAGGGGAGGAGGCCCCCGGAGGTGAGGGTGGCCAGGCCACACGCTGTCCACGGTGAGCCCTGCCGCTGCCCGCGGCCCAGGGAGCCTGACAGATGTTTACCCTGTGTCCGTGGGTGGGGACAGCTGTCCTGAGCACAGCCGTGGACGGGCAGGTGAGTGTCCATTCAGAGTGTCTGCTGAGGGACAGTCCCCTTGGAGACCAGCGTCCTGTGTCCCATTCCCCACTCTGTGCCCCTCCCGTGGCTTGATTTGTGGGGGAAGATAAAGAAAATCCTCGTTGAAAATGTGAATTAAGGGGCAGGTGTTGGAGTGGCAGGGCCCGCAGCTCGGCGATCACAGCCCCTGACCAGCCCACCTGGCCGGCTGCCCTGGGCGTGCTCTGCTGTCGTCGGACCCCGGTGCCCATCAGCTCACAGGGGCACACTGTGATGGGCCCAGCCTGTCTTCTCCTCATCCCGGGGTCCCTGTCACTCCCGCCACCCCCCCACACACGGCAACCTGGAGAGGCCTGCTGGGGGGTCCACCGCACCTTGCCCCTCAAGCCCAGGGTAGCCCTCCCTCCCTCGGCTCCGAGCCTAGACTCCGAAAGCGCACTGTTCACAAACCCCTGCCGCGCCCGCCCCGGCCTGGGAGCGCGGGGTGCCACGCACCGCCTTCTGACCCCTCTCCTCCTCCTGCCTCTGGACCAAGCCCAGAGCCCCTCTGTGGCCGCACCAGCTGGTGAGGGAGGTGGGCCACCCCCAACAGGAGGGAGGTGCTGTGGGAACCCAAGGGTTCCCCTGCCAACCGGGCTGCCACCAACAGCATCCTCTCGGCCAGACTCTGCCAGTTGGGAGGTCGGTACCTCCCCGGCCCTGGAGGGACCAGAGTGGGAGCCCCGGGCCCACGGGGGCTTCTCAGATGGCTCATCGGGCCCCCGGGGGCCGGCCCGGCCTCTGCACTGCTCATCCATGCTGGGGGCACGAGAGGAAGGGAGGGGAACATCCGTGCTCGGGTCCCCTTGGCCCCAGGTGGCCGACACTCCTGACGGCAGCCATGCACGGCGGGTGGGGGTGGGGAGGTATGCAGACCTAACAGACACCGTTCCTCGGCCCGGCCCCTGTGGACAAGTCACTGCCCCACTGCTCCCCGAGGGACCAGGAGTGACAGACACGTGGAGCGTGGGTGGGGGGTGCCCGGCGGTTCAAGGCCCCACAGATGCCAGTGGTTTGTACAGCTTTTGCCTTTTTTTCTCCTGTTTCATCCAACATCAATTTTTTTTTTTTTTTTTTTTTTTTTTTTGGTGGCGGTTGTCATCTTGTTGTTAAAAAGAAATCACATCCAGTCTTGGTTTTCTGCAGACACGGGCACCAGGGGAGGAACGAGGCAGACACAAACATGCGACAGGCAGGCCGAGGGAGGGCGGCCGGGCTCCAAACACTGAGTCTGTCCCACGAAGCCGGCCACAGCTCTGAAAGGTGGGGAGGGCGGGGGTCAAGGGGGAGGGCGGGGCGGGGGTCAGCTCTCCTCTGTCCCCACCCAGGGAGAAGGGGTGGGCGGGGCATCCGCTCTCGTCGGCGCCCCCTGGGAGAAGGGGGACAGCAGGGATGGGCGGGGCCTGCCTATAGTGCGGGGGCGGCTCTGCCCGGCGTCCCCCGCGCACCCCAGGAAAGGGCCCGAGCCGGCACCCACCTTCACTGCAGCGGCGCCACGGGCGCGCCCGAGCAGTGGAAGTGCACGTTCTGCCACTTGCCCTCGCGGCGGTGCCACACGCGCGTCTCCTCCGACTGGCTGGTGCGGGGCCGGCCCTGCCCGTCGATGTACTGCGTCAGGCGGATGTAGGCGATGCACGCGGCGTCCTCCCCGATGACGTGCACGTGCGGGTTCAGGATGGTCGTGTGGACGGGCTTGCTGTTCTTGGCGAGCACTGTGGGCAGAGGCGGGGGCTTGCCGGGCGCCCTGGAGAGCCTCTGCCCAGGGAAGGGGGGCAGGGAGGCCACCTGGAGGTCCAGCGGCCCCGCGCCGCTGTCGGGGGCGGCCCCCACACCCGGCCCCGGCACTCACGGTTCTCGAAGTAGAATCTGTGGAAATCCATCCCTTCGACCAAGTTGCCCAGCGCTTCAGGCTCGAACGAGGTCAGGCCTGGGTCACAGATTTTCCTGGGGGGCAGACCCAGGTGAGGAGAGGCCCCTGCCACCACCTGCCCCTCCCTTCACCACAGGGAAGCCCCCACAGCCCGCCCCAGGCCCCCCAGGACCCAGCCCAGATGCCCCGCTCACGCGTAGGCCTCGAAGTCCCCGTTGTTGACCGCCTCGATGAGCTGCTCGGTGATCTTGATGACCTCCTGCTTCCGTGCTGCGGGGACACAGCCGCCCAGTGACCGAGGACCACCCCGGGTGGCCGTGCAGAGGGCCTAGGGCAGAGCGTCCCCAGCCCCCACCCACTCTCCTCTCCAGGAGGGACCTGATCGGTCCGGCTCACACTGTTCCCTCCAAGGTCACCCACAGCCCCCACATTCCCAAGTCCATGGAGCCATGTCTGTCTTACATAGAAGGTCTCCATGTGATAGAAACACCACGTCTGAGAACGCAGAAAGGGGAAGCAAAGCCCACCATGACTGTGGTCCCCAGTCCCTCCGGCCGTGTCCCCTGGAACCGGCCCTCCTGGCCTCTGCCCACCTAGACTCGGTTCCCAAGCCCCTGCCACATCCAGCCCCTCTGCAGGAACATCTGGTAAGGGCTGGCTGTGAAGCGGTGGGGTTTGGGGGGGGGGACCAGGGTCTACGGGGTGAAGGCGGAGAAGAGGGCAGGGAACGGGGCCAGGGGACCGAGGAGGGAGACAGGGAGACACGGAGTCTGTGGGTCTCTCCCTGGAAGCCCACAGCCAGCCAGCGGGCCTCCTGCCTGCTTGGGTCTCTACCTGTGTGCAGTCCAGTGCTCGGGCGCCAGCCCCCCTCCGTACCCCCCACCCCCAGCATCACCAGCCCACCTAGCACCCTCCGTCCCGGGGCTCTGGGCTTCTGCCCACTTGGCCTCTGCACTGGGACAGGCCTGGCCCCAGGGTGCTGACCTGCGGTCCCCGTTCTCTCTTTAATCACAACTTGTTTCAGAGAATAACGCAGCCGCACCCACTGCGGATTCAAACCTGGATCACTTTCACGGCCACGGAGACGCTCATAGAAATAAACCAGATAGAGCTGTGAGTGCCTGTGTTCCCCTAAATCTCATGCTTCACTCCCCCTCCCCAGAGGAGGACTGCCCTCTGGTGGGTGCTTAACTGTCTCTGTGAGGACATGTACACCCCCAAGTACACACACACGTCGAGTGTGCGCTCACACGGCTCCCAGGGACCTCTGAACGGCAGTGCTCCCCTCAATAAGCCTCAGACCCAGCCAGTGTGGGATCCCATGAGCTCCTCCCCACGGGCTCCCTGCCAGGTCACTGCGCTTCCAGCAGCTTCCCTGGCTCCCCAGCGGCTCTCTGTCCCTGCCACTGGGCATCTGTCTGCACTCCGGCAACCGGCACCCCTGGGAACAGCACCCCCGTGTGCTGATGCATGGGCTCCAGTCCCAAAGCACACACAGCAGGGTCTCCAGAGGGTGACTCCGCATTCGGAAGCATGTGCCCACCGCCCTGGCATGGGGCTGCCCGGGCTCCTCCCCACCGCCAGCACCCTTGGCTGCCTGCGTGCCCCCTCCCACCAATGCCCACCTGAACGGTGGGCGCTGCGCAGTGCACGTGGGCCCAGGCGGGCCTCGTGTGCTGCACGGGGTCTGGAGAGTATGGGCAGCGGGAGCTCCGTGACACCCGGGGGCTTGGGTGCACGTGTGCGCTGGTGTCACAGGGGAGGGCAGGTGCCTGTTTGCACGTGGAGATTCCTGTGTGCATGGACCTGAGAGCCTCTCCAGTCTCGGAAACCCCTCCCTCTGGACCCAGCTGTGTTTGTGCAAAGGCCCCCTTTCCATTTCTCACCCAACTCTGTGTCTGGACCATGCCAGGGTCTGGGCTCCGGGCTGTCTCGCCCAAGCCCAGGCCTCACTGTCCGGTCGGCCCTGGAAGCTGGTCCCCAGCACGGTGGGCTGCAGGCTCCAGGGACCCCATGTCCGCCCATATCCACTGGCAGAGCTCTGTCCCTGCACCCACCACACTCTACTCTTGGGCTTGGGACCCGAAGCAGGAAGTCGTTGGACATTTTGGGTCCCTCTGCATCCCCAGTGTGTGACCTCCCGGCAGCCTGCCCACCCCTCTGCCCTCTGCCTGAGCATTTCTGCTTTGGGGACGGTCACCTACTCTCCCAGGTCCCTGTCACCACTGCAGTCCAGCTTTTCCCTGGGGACCCCAAGCTAGGGCCCCCCGTCCATGTAGGGGAGGGCAGCACCTGTGTGTCCAACACCCAACACCAGTTGAGCCCCCTTTTCCACATCAGCACCCCACGGGAGCCCTCAGCCAACAGCCCTGTGACCCGAATGGACTGACATGTCCTGTCTCACATCCCGTGCATCCCGTACTGTGGTAAGTCACCCCAATCTTGCCCTTAGTGAAGTCGTGTGGCGTGTTTCTAAGCCAGTTGTAAGACAAAACGAGAGTAGAAAGTCAATAGGAGGCTTTGGGGTCACAGCACACATCGCCGAGTCCAGGGTTTGGGACCTGGTGTCACCGATCTGCAGACAAGCAGGGGGAGATCGCAGCAGGGCTGCTGCCAGGACCCACCCCTGCCCTGCGTGGCAGCCCTTCCTCCCCCAGGGGGAGCAGGGGCTCCCCGGGAGGTGAAGCTGCGGGCTGTGACCTGCCATCTGCCCCCCGGCCCAGGCAGCTCCGCAGACGGAGCAGAGGTGTGTGGGCAAGGGTCTGGCGTGGGAAGGGTCCCGGCGGTGGACCAGAGCCCCTATACTCCCTCTCTTGGGACAAGCTAACAGGCTGGGAAAGGGTCTGGCGGGACCCCCGCGGCCCCAGGCTGGCCCTAATCCGCGTCCCTTGGCAGTGGGGGCACCAGGAGCCACAGCCCCTGCAGGCAGGCAGCGGCAGATCAGCCGTAATCCCTGATTACGGGGAACACCGCCTGGGCCCGTAGGCACCGACCCCATTTACACATGACGACAGCTGGCGGGCAAGTAACCTGGCCGCAGAGGTGGAGACAGGGGTGCCCCGGCTCAGACACCCACGACCGCGGGTCTAGAGAGCCAAGTCCCCTCCCGGGACTGACTCCACCCATCCTTCCCGGCAGACCCCTGCTCTCGAAGGGGCTGTGGTGCTGGGGACTTGGGCGGGGGCACATGCCGGAGCAAGGACGCCGTCCCCCGGGGGCCTCAGCTCCCTGGGGCTCCCCACTCCCCTGCCGCTCCTGGCCCCCCAGCACCCCTCCCTTCAGTCCTGCTCAGGGCCCCTTCCTGTGGTCCTCACCTCCACAGCTTAGTTCAGGGCAGACCCCAAGGTCAGCCCGGGATGCAGTGCTCACGGCATGCCCTGTCCTCAGAGCCCCCAACCCGGCCCGCGATGCAGACTGAGGGCAGCTCGCAGTCCTGGGTGGGCGGCCCCCCAGGGGCACTGCTCCACGTGCCAGCCTCCAGTTTCCTCATCTGTGGAACCAGGGCCAAGAGGGGCCAGGGAGATGGGCACAGGGACGCTGCCGACCCTCCCAGGCTCCGTTTGCACCCTCTCCCTCACCAGACTCCCCGCCGCCCCAGCCTGTGACCGGCCTCTGCCCCCGGGCCAAGGCGGCCCAGACACCCGCACCTGGCCTCGCCCCTCTGGCGGAGCACAGAACACTTCTGCGGGGGGCCACTGCTATCCGGAGGCCGTCCCGTGCCCTCCTGGCCATTGGGGTGGGCTCAGCTTCCCCGAAGCCCCTGTGCCCCCCACGGTTGCTGAGCTTCGCTCCCCCTCGTCCCTGCCCAGGCCCTCGGGCCCCGCACTCACCCAGCCACTCCCCAGCCATGCCCAGCCCTGGCCCGCAGCCTCTCATCCGACCGTGCCTCCCCGCCTGGTGTCCCCCGGCAGGTGGCGGGGGGGGGGGGCCTGCAGCCCTGGGGTGTCACCCATCCCTGTAAGCGATCCTGGTGGCAGTCGGCAGACCGGCTGGCGCGACCGGCTCCTCCCTCCCTGCCTGGGGGGGGGGGCCCAGCCCAGCGCCGGCCCTCGCCCCCCCCAACCCCTCGCCCTGGGCCCCTGCAGCCAACACTGCGTCACACGGGCCGCGGATCACAGGCGCGAGGCTGTTGTCTGCCCCGACCGCTTCCGATTCCTCCCTACAGGCGTTCACGCGCCCTTCCTTAGCCACAAGCTCCTGTTCTGAGGCCAAATGACACCTTCGTGTCGAATTCCCTGTGCTCCCCTTTCCGCCCGCTGCCCCCCAAGCCGGCCCCTTCCCAGAGTGAGTGGGCAGCACACCACAGCCGGGGGTCTCCACACCCATGAGCCCCCAAGGAGCAGCCAGGGGGCCCCTCAAGGTGCTACTTACACAGGGCCGGCGGGGGGCCTAGGAGACCTGGAGATAGGCAGGGTGGGGGGGCCCTGGGTTTCCAGAGCTGAGCCCCTCCTCACCGTGTTCAGGATGGCAGAGAGCCTGGGGGCTGGGGCGGAGCGGACCAGACGGAAACAGGAGGCTTGGTGGGGGCACACGAGACAGAGAAGCTATGGGCGGACGAGCTAAGCCAGAGGGACGAAGGAACAGAGGGGACACGGGCACAGGGAGGGTAGAGGGAGTGTGGGGGGATGAAGGTGGATGCGGAGGACACGAGGAATGTGGGGCCCAGAAAGGGACGTGAGGGACACGGGGGTGTGGGGGGGACACGGGAAGTACAGGGGCACGGGGGATGCAGGTGGACGTGTGGGGTGAAGGACGGGGAAAGTGGGGGACGGGGACGTGGACGTGGGTGGATGTGGGGGATGAAGGGGGACGGGCGGACGGGTGGGACAGGGGGTTGGGGACACAAGGAGGCACAGAGGGGATGTCGATGGACAGAGGGATGGGGAATGTGAGGAATGTGGGGGACGGGGGGGACGGGGGCACAGAGGAGGGGCTTCAGGAACGTGCGGGCGGCGCGCTGTTCGGCCCGTGGCCGAACAGTCGCTGTGGGCAGAGGGTGCCCCCCCATGGACAGATGCAGCCCAGCGTGTGCAGAGCCCAGGGAGGACCCAGCTGGGCAGCAAGGCCAGGCCTCCCTCCTCTCGTCCACGGCCTGCGGTCGTGCAGTCGTGCAGTCGGGAGAGGCTACGCCTCCATGGGGCCCCACGGGCTGCTGTGACTGGGAAGGTCAGGCAGGCGGCGTGAGGGAGGCGAGACGCACCATGGACTGCCCGGAGGGCCCTGCCCGTGCCCAGGACACATGTTGGGGAGAGGCCTGGGGCAGTCTGCAGTGCTGGTGGAGGGAGGAAGAGGGGAGGGCGGCGGCTGGGAGCGCCCTGCGCGGGGAGTGCCAGGCGGCCAGCCCACCCGGGCCCTGAGCCTCGGGCAGGGGCAGCGGGAGCAGCTGAGGCCGTGCACCGCGGCAGCAGGGCAGCGGGCCCAGGGGCGCTACTTACACAGAGCGGGCAGGGGGCCCTCAGCGTCCAGGGCCCCCGAGCCCCTCCCCACGCAGCTCAGGATGTCAGGGACCCTGGGGGCTGGGGTGGACAGGAGGCTGAGCGTGAGCGGCCTGGGGAAGCAGCCCCTGGCCAGTGTCTGCAGTGGGGTGGGGGCCTCAGGCCCGGCGGGGTGGGGAGGAGGCTGCCATGGCGGGGGCAGAAGGGCTGAGGCAGCCCTACAGAGGCTGCTGCAGGGTCCTCCAAGCAGACCCCGCCCGCAGCGGGGGCCCCCCCGACCCACTGACTTACGCCTTACGCGGAGTGCGCAGGGGGCTGGCGGGAGGTGGGCATGAGGTAGGGGGTTGGCTTCAGAGCTCGCGGAGCCCCTCCTCACAGAGCTCAGGGTGTCAGGGGCCCTGGGGGTTGGGGCAGACAGATGAGACACTAACGGGAGACAGGAGGGGGCACGCGGGAGAGACGGGGACAGCACGAGGACGGGTGGGGTGGGGCTGGAGGACCCGAAACACAGCTCACAGTTGGGCCCAGGAGCGGGACAGGGAGGACTGGAGACGGCAGGAGGGGCAGGCCTGGGCCCTTTAGGGCCCGCCCCGCTGCCCGAGGCGCACTGGGGTCTGGGCCGGAGCAGGCCGGCCAACACTCCTGCAGCCTCCGGCCATGCAGGACGCCCACAGGGCCGGGGTCGGGGCAGAACCGCAAAGACAGGGCCTCGGGGGCCTCCGTGCTGACGACAAGGCTCTGTGTCCGTCTGTTCACGGAAGCCACGTGAACATCCACTCTCCCTTCATCCAGGGGCCTGTGCTCACCTCTGTTTTGGGGTGTCACTGTGTCCCCCAAACTGGCAGAATGGCTGGCCCTCAGACCCTGGGGCAGCCCTGCGGGCCTTCAAGGCTGAACTGTGACCATGTGGCCCAAAGGCTCCGGTGGGCCCACATGCCACCTGCCCTCCCGGGGGAGGCGGACAGAGCTGGGAGCAGAGGGGCCCTACACGGGTGCGGCCCACCCACCCTCACGGGCCGTGGAAATACCCAGAACCCAGGCAAAGCCCCCTGCTGGCTGGCTCCTTAGCGGCTGCCAGCCAGGCAGAGTCACCGACTTCAGGAAGTTCAAGAGAAAAAATCAAAAACAAATTCAACCATGCACTTGTTCCCCTGCAGGCTGGGAGCTGCCCCGCTGGCCAGGGCGCCGGCCTCTTGGCCCACATGCACTAGGCAGGCCCCGGGGGCTGTGGCCAAGCAGGGCCAGCGCCCCGTGGACACCCCTTGCCCGCCTCCCAGACGCCCCACTGTGCCATCTTCCAGATGTACCTTTCGTGTCCTCGTCCTCTATAGTGGTGTGAGTGCTGTCCGATGACTCCTGGGGGACACACGGAGACAGCGGGTCAGGATGAGGTCTCTGTCCCAGCCCGCCTCTGTGGGGCCTGGAGGTGCCCATCCCCGAACCCCACAGGCGGTCACCCAGCCCCAGGCCTCAGCCGCTCACATCCGCAACGGCCAGCGGCCCAGACGCGCCTCCTCCTGACCAGATGCGCCTGGAGGAGAGACTCCCCGTGACTCTCCCGTAAGAGAGGAAAACGGGCTATCTGGCGCTCCCAGCTGAACGGGAAAGCGCCCCCAGCCTGTGCACTGTGGCAGACAGGGCGGGAAGGCTCCAGGAGGGCCTCAAGAGACTGGCCGTATCCGCAGCTCCTGCCCCAGCAGGGGCCGCCTGCCCCTCGGGCCTGGACAGTCCATCCAAGCCCAGTCTCCCCACTGCGGGGGCCTGCGAGGGTAGACCAGCAGTCCCAGCACCTCCGACCCCACGCAAAAACCAGCGGCCGGTCCCCTCTCACGGACTCCCCAGGAGGTCCGCCTGCTCCTGAGGTCCTCCAGGGCTCCTCCTAGCCCCGAGTGAAGCCCTGCGCTAGGCCCCGCCCGGCAATGGGGGTGGCCTGCAGCTTGTAGGATCGGGGCACGTACCACAGCCCCCCAAGGTTGTCTAAAGGCCCCTTGCAAGACAAACAGAAGCCTCACCCCAGACACGGGGCCCAAGGAACAGGTGCCCCGAGCCACAAGGCAGGAGGACACCCAGGCCCTTTCTGGCACGTTGCATCTGTGCTGAGAGCCACTGACCCCTGGTCCCGGCCTGCAGCCAGGATATGAGGGGCCCTTTGGGGAACCCGGGGCTCGGGGGCAGTCCGACTGCAGACTGGGGCGGGTGCCAGTCCTAGAAACACAGCTTGACGGCCCGCCGTCCCTCCCGCCACCCTGAGAGCCAGCCCCTTCTCTGGCCCCGGGCGCAGGTGCCCATGCAGCAGGAGACGCCGGGCGCGGAGCAGCGGCAGAGGCAGGCCGGCCCGGTAGGAAGCACTGGGGGCAGAGGTGAGTGATGTGGGCGGCCAGGGGCGTCTGTGCTGCTCCCTCCTCCCGGCCCACGCTTGCCCTCCTCCCCTGGCACCCCAAGGCAGTCCTGCATGCCTGGCTCCCGGCTCTGCTGGTTCTGCCCGCAGACAGGGCCGGATGGACAGCCCGGAGGGTCCTGAGAAGCGGACCCTGCTCTGGGCCCCCACCGTCAACAGTGACTCGGTACAGCCATGCCTGAGACGGCAGCGCCTGGGGCCTCATTCTGAGGGGGTGGCCGTGGACCTGTGGGGCTCTGTCCTGCCTCGAGAGGGTCCCTGTACATCTGCCCCCCAACTCTCAGCACAAGGGCTGCCCGGTCCGTGCCCCTGACCTGCCCCTGACCTGCCCCTGACCTGCCCCAGACCTGCCCCAGACCCTGCCTCCTGCCTGGGCGCAGGCTCCCAAGGGGGCCGGTGGGTGCAGTAGTACCTTGATCCCGTCCACGGGGTTATGAATGACGGTGGTTTGAGGCTCCTACGGAAGAAGGAAGCACAGAGGAAGGAAAGAGGGAAGTGAGAGGAGAAGGTGGGTGGAGGGAGGAGGCAGCGGAGCGTGCACGGCAGGAGGCAGAGCGGTTTGGGGAGGCCCAGAGGCCGGGAAGGCCAGAGAGAAGCACGTGCGCCCACGGAGCTCAGCACAGAGCGTGGGGGCGGCGGGCAACGAGATCCTCCTGTCCCCTCGCTTTGCCGCCTGACCCTCTGCCCCGGGATGGGCGGCACGGTTTTGAAGATGTCATGGGAGTGGGGGTGGCATATGGAATGGACGGGGTCTGAGATGGGGCTGGCTGTGTGGGACCCTCCCCTCCGAGGCTGAGGCCGCCCCCGCGTGCTGGACGGCCACCTGGCGAGCCGAGCCTTCCTGTGGGCAGTGTGGGGCTGGGCTCCGCACGAACTCGGAACCCGGGCCCCGGCAAACCCCGACCTCTCGGGGCGGCCAGCCCTACACAGACCGCCATGGGCACATAGCGCCCTCGCACCATCACAAGCCACGCCACCAGCTCGGGGTGGGACCTGGCCAGGACCCACCCCCTGGCCCCCCGACAAGAGGGCCAGAGCCAGCGGGCTCCTCTGAACTTGTGTCTGCCCACGCCTGCCCAGCCAGAAGCCCCCGGGCTTCCTCCGCCCCTGCCGGGCAGCCACAGGCCAGCACGGCCATGGGGCTGTGTCCCCTGGAGGCTTGGGGCCTGCAGGGTCCGGCCGCCCACGGGAAGCCGCCCTGGCTGTGGCCGGGTCATCACTAGCAACTGCCACAGCGGCTCATCTCCCTCCAGATCACTGGGGGGCTCCGCAGCTAAGACCAGCCCCACCCATGGTTCTTGGGAGACACCAGAGCCCTCCGCTCCAGGGCGGCGCACCCCTGCAGCAGCTGGAAGGCATCTCCCCGCCCAGCCAGGCCCCTGCAGGGTGGCCAGGCACACACGCTCCTGAATGCCTCTCAGCGCTGACCCACAGGTGGGACACCGGGCCAGGCCCCTGCGCAGACCCGAGACCCCCCGAAAGGGGCTCGGCCGTAATTCCACACCCGAGCGGCAAAGGGGAGCTGGAGGGCCAGGCACCGTCCATCGGAGGTAGCTGGGGCTGCACCCCACCTCACCCCAGGCCTGACAGGCAGCCACCGCACAGCCGGGCTGCGGTAGGGCCGGAGGGCAGGGGGCCGAGGGGCTCAGTACCAGGGCAGCCGGAGGAAGTGTCCCCTTCGGGCTGGTGGCAGCAGCACTGTTCTTGGTGCTGTTTGTCTGGGGCTGTGGAGAGAGGAAGAAGTCAGGGGGACGGAGCCACACCCCTTCCCAGGGCCTGCCCGCCACGGAGGGAGGGAGCGCGGCCGCAGGCGGCCCGGCCGGGCACTCACCTTGCCCGCGTCAGCCTTCTTGTTGAGTAAGCTCTTAGCTGCTGCATCGGGAGGAGACAGGCGACATGAGCAAAGGATCCGCAGCCCCCGACTACCCACCCCTCGGTGTGAGCTGACCTCAGGGCCAGCCGGGCTCTGGGGATCCCCAAGAGCTAGGGGTCAGCCAGGGGACCCCAAGTCCCAAGGCAGGGTGGTGTCCGTCATCGGTGGGGGGTGAAGCAGGTCTGCCCAGTTCTGAGCCTGGCCATCCTGGAGAAGGCCCACGGGAGACCCAGGACAGCCCAAAGCGCTCATCCCCAGGACAGGCCCCTTCCCCCGGCCACTCTCCATGACCCTGCAGGACACCCAGGTTTCCTGCCCCACATGGCCCTGCGGCCGTGGGCAGTTGTGCAGGCTCCACCAAGAAGGAGGCGGGTGCCCCCCGCCCTGCACAGGAACACAGGATGGGGCACCAGGCTGGGGTGCTGGGCCAACTGCCGGTCACCTGCCTGTGTTCCCGGGCGGGGGCGGGCTGCAGCTGGCCACCCACCCACGTAGGGAGGGGCTCACCCCAAGTGCGGGTGGCCGCCTGCCATCAGCCTCCCGGCCCCCTCCCTCGGCAAACAGGACTCCGCGCCCTGCCCACAGGCCCAGGCCCCCTGGCTCAGCACCCAACGGGCTGCCTCGATCTTCAGGAACCAGTCCTGGAAGTCCTGACCTTGGAGTCATTTCCTGGCCTTATCGGGGCAGCATCGGCCCCTCTGCCCACCCCTGAGGCCCCGGGGCTCTGATGGGCTCAACAAGGTGCCACCCGTGGGGAAGGCTCCAGAGGGCCCCCCCACATCTCCGGCTGCCCACCACCTGTGGGACACCCAGCAGACGGCCTGGCTCGCCCCAACACGACCACACAGAGATCAGGGCAGCCCGCCACCCCTCCAAGTCCCACAGCATCTGGGCCCTGCGCAGTGGGCAGCGTCCGTGGAACGGCTGCCAAAGCAAGGGAATGGGCTTACCTTCCAGGGAAGGAAAGGTGAGGAGGGAGGGAGGTGGTGGTAGGGAAAGAAAGAAAACAAGATTCATGTGGTCAGGCAGGAGTGCAAGCGCGTGGCCCAGGACCCCGCCCGCCCCGCCCGCCCCGCCCGCACTCCCGGCCCAGCGCTGCCCCACCTGTGCAGGACGGAGTGGCCGCACCAGGGGCCGGGGCCGGGGGTGGGCCCCCAGGGCTGCTGCAGCCCCCACCCTGCCGTGGGTCCCCAGCCTCCAGCCGGCCCTGCAGCCCACGGTGGTTCGCGGGGGGCGGGGGGGTACTCTTGACGGCGGGAAACATCCCTGGAGGCCATGGCGCCAGGCTGGTGGTTGGAGAGCAGCGGTTCTCCACTGGGGGTCCCCACACCGGCAGCCTCAGTGGCAGCACCCAGGCCCCCCCAAGACTTCCCAGGGGTGGTGGGGCGTCTGTGCTAGGGGGCTAAAGCTAAATGCTGCTTTGGTTTGAGACCACTGTCAGGGTCCCAAGCCTCTGGACTGTGGCCCACCTTTCTCTCCGTGAAGGTCCCTTTGCCGCCCTCCAGGCTCTGTGCAGGGACATGGGTGATGTGCTCGAGCAGAGAGCCCTGTGGGGCTGTCCAAGTGCCACCCCAGGGGCGGTCTCTCCCCACAACCAGTCCACTCTCTCAAAGGCTTCCCCACCAGGAACCATGGGGCTGCGTGTCACCAGAGACCTGCCTCTTGGCCCGTGCCCCGGTCCTGCGGGCTTCCCCGCCACGAGAAGTGTCGCAGGATCCCAGTCAGTGCAGGGGTGACAGGGCCCCTCCCTTGCCCACCAGGCCTGCAGCACACCCTCCCAGTCTGGCGAGGCTGGATCAGGACCGCACCCCAACACCCTGCAGGCCCAGACCCGTAAGCGTCCCAGGACCAAAACTGCCATCTCCCAAGGGGCCGCTTCCCCTTGTGGGGACCCTGGAAACCACCACAGGTCGGCTCCAACCCACCTCCCCATAACCCACCATGGCGGGACAGCCCAAACCTGTGGACACGGGAGCTTTTGCACCTAACCCCCACTGACCTCAGTCCCCTGCTCCCTTCCCCAAGTCCAGCGCACAGGTAGGCCACCTCCCCCAACGTGGGAGTCATGCTGAAGTCACACAGCCCAGAGACCCCGTCCTTGCTGGCTGACCAGCAGGGCCAGGGTCCTCCAGGGGCCTGGAGGAAAGAGGCGTCCAGCCCAGCATCCCAGAGCCATGCATCCCCACAGAACCCGCACACTAATGTAGGACGTCAGAGCTGGCCCGGCGCCCCGAGAAGACACAGCCTGCCCTGCCTGGCCTTCCTCTCAAACCGAGCCCTGGTGAAAAGCGGACGGAGACCCTGGGGCAGGCCTGGATCTCAAGAGGGTGCCCCTCAGTCCCTGACTCTCCAGACCCTGCTACCCGAGACGACAACACCCCAGCAGACTCAGACAGCTCCAGTGGGGCCCGGGCTCCAGAAAGCCTCACAGCGGACACCCAGACCCTTAACCGATCCCCAAACACCTCCCCTTGGACCAGCGGCTACAAGACACTGGACGGGCCCCTCCTGAAAGCAGCTCCTGGAAATTCCTTGCCTCCAGGGCTCTGTGGACGCGTCTATACCGGCAGTACAAGCACAGGGCCCTCCCCCCACGCTTTCTCAAGTCAGATGCACTAGTTGGCGGCAGGGGCCCCGGGAGGGGGTGGGCTGAGCAGGTACCCCAGACCCGTGGTGGACAAGCAGAGACCTCAGGCCGGCCACGGCTGCCCCCCAACCCCAGCTTGCCCGCCCCCTCTCGGGGAAGGCCGAGACGCTCTGACGACCTGCGGCATCCGTCTCCACGGAGACCCCGCGGGCTCCTCCGGCCAGGGCGCTGCGTCACCCGGGAGGCTGTCCCCTATGGAGGAGCCATGGCCTTGAAACGGAGAACCCCGCCCAATGCCACTGGCCGAGGCGGGCTGACCGCAGCCCAAGGCCCAGCGTCGGCTCATCCCCTCGCCGGCGGCCCCGGACAGCCATGCTGGGCTCTGTCCTCATGCACTGACTGCTTCCAGGACGGAGCAGCCCCGGGCGCCCCGCAGGGCTGGGCATGCACACGGCGCATGCATTCGCGGCGCATCCACGGTCCACGGCAGCTGGGCGGGCGCAGGCAGGGGCCCCGGCAGAGGGCAGCCCAGCAGCCTCGCTCACTGCGCTGGGCAGCCGCACTTCTCCAGGAGCGCCCAGGCACCCTGCCCTCCTCCCCCGCCTCCCCATGCGCTCCAGACGGCCCTCCAGGGGCCTTGCCTGCCGAACATGTCCGCTGGGCTCGCAGAAAGGGCACAGACCATCCTTCCCGAGGGTGGCCCTGCCCGGAGTGCCCCCAGGAGGGGGCAGCTAAGGAATGCACCCCTGCGGGACCTTGAAGCAAGAAATGGGGTGGACGGCTGGCTGGGGCCAAAGCACAAGGCACCAGCAGAAAACCGGCCCCCGCGGCTCCGTCTGGGGAGCCCTGGGGTCGGCCCTTGGCTGCAACAGGCTCTGTGCGCCCTACGCCTGCACTGGCCTTGGCTCAGGCTGGGCCCCTGGCAGGTCCTGGGGTCTGCTAGCCCTCAGGGCTCTGGCCAGCTCACAGGGGGATGGGCAGGAGCTGGCCTGAGGCCCCTGGGAGGAGCGGGGTCCAGAGAAGCAGCCTCTCTGCTCATACATTTGGGAGGAGGCCTGGGGCCTCACAGAAAGACCCAACAGGACATTCTCTGGGGGCTGAGGCCCCCGTCCTGGAGCTCGCAGAGCAGACATGCGCACGTCAGACCACACAGACCTCCAGCTCCAAGCGAGTGATGGGAGCAGCACGGTGCAGGTGCCTGGGCGCAAGGACGGGCCGGGCGGGGAGTGCAGGGGGCGGGGGGCTGGCAAGAGGGCTCTCATGGTGCAGGACCTCTGCCCCCAAGCCTTCTTCCCCAGAGCCCCCATTCAGGGTTCAGACCCAGCAGCAGCCGTGAGGCTTCTTACAGGTGGTCAAGGTCACTCGGAACAGGAGTCATGACGGACAAGCAGGAAGAGAGATCACAGAGCACAGGGCTCTGACCAGAGGGGTCTCCTGACCCCCAGACTCAGGGGCCAGGTCCAAGGTCCGGTGAAATGCATCTGGGGGGAGGCACGGCTCGGGTGTCCCCTAGCCTGAGCCCTCCTTCAGCGCATGGGGTCTGAGGCTGCCGTGTGGGATCTGTCCCCGGCGGGAGCGGGGGCTCCCGGGGCCTCGGGGGCAGCTCCGGAGGCCCGGCCGGCAGCTGCGTGCAGCGAGGGGGCTGCATGCCAACAGGCGGGACCCTGGGCAAGAGCATCTACCTTGTTCCACCAGCCCCATGGTGGTGCCGGAGGCCGCGGTGGACATTGTGGCCGGAGCGGTGGTCTGTCTGCCCACTGTTAGCACCGGGTTAGAGACGAGGGAGGGGCGGACACAGACGGGGCGGGCAGGGGAAGGGAGGGGAGAGACAAAGGAAGCAGAAGAAGATTAGAGTCCACAGTTGGGTGGCGGATGGTTCCAGAGTCCCGTTCACAGGAGAGTGGGAACAGGACTGGGACTGACGGACAGTTGGAAAGGGTCTGCCTCCTTTCTCCTTAGAAAACCCCAGCGGGGGCTTCTCGTGCCCAGTGGGCATGCGCACAGGACAGGACCCGTTAGTATTGGTGTGACACACGCCCCCGGTCCCAGCAGCACGGTACCACAGCCAAAGGAACAGGATGGGGAGCTAGATGCAGACGAACAGGGATGGACCCCAGACGCTCCCGCACCCAGTGACGCGGGCGACACACAACCACAGGACAGCCAGGGGGCCACTTGCCCCGTGGGCGACGCTCTGCCCAGTGGGCCTGCCAGGGCCCCTGGCCTTGGGGTCGCTGACAGACGCCCCCACAGCAGCTGCACACCCCCAGCCCCGCCCACCCACAGCACCCCAGGCGGGTGGCCGCCAGCAAGTCCAGAGCTCGGTGGAGAGGTCCCGGGTCCTCCTCTCCCCTCCCACACACAGAACGGGTGCTCAGAGAGCTCAGGACAAGGCCACGGAGGTGGCGACCAACACCTGGACAGACACACAGGGCTGTGGCCCAGACGGCAGCGAGGACACAGACCCAACACGCAGGGACGGGGACGTGTGCCGGGCGGCCTCCCAGGCCGGGCTGGGTCAGGGTGGGGGCGGACCCTGGGGTGCTGCCCAGAGTCCAGGCCTCGCGGTCCTGAGCGTGCAGAAGGCCACTGCACCGTGGGGAGAAAGGCCGGGGGGAAAGGGGGCGTGAGAGGGGTGGGCCACCGGCGGCGGCTCCCTGGGAAGCCTTCCCCACCGCGCGCTGAGCGTTCTTACCTGAGAAATTTCTCGTGGCCAGCATGGTGGTGAGGATCGCACCCTGGGGAAAGGCATGCGGCTGAGGCCAGGCCACCGCAGCCCGGACCTCAGCCCGGGGCACCCGCAGGACCTGCGTCCCGGCCTGGCCCCCCAAGAGTCTACCAGCTCTCTAGCTGCTCAGGGACCGGCCCCCACTTCCTGAGCGAAAACAGAGGCTGCCCACTGAGCACAGCTTCCAGGGGCCTTCAGGGCCTTCCTGCGGCCTACCCCCCCCACACCTGGCCACCAGCCGCTTGGGCTGCTGTCCACACCGGGCCCGTCAGGGTCCAAGGCCGCCCACCCACTCATGCTGGGCACAGGGCAGCAAGCAGGGGCACCTGTGCCTCCACAGCCCGGGGGTCCCTGAGCGCCGCTGCCATGTGGGGGGCTGGGTCCGCCTGCCCCGTCTGCTCTGGGAGGTGCTGGGATCGCCGGGACCCTGTGCCTCCCCTCACCCAGCCCGCAGGGACCCCTCTGGCCACTCCTGGCCTGGGGCCGTCAAGTCACGGGCAAGCCCCAGCGGGCGAGCACGCGGGCCGTGGGGCAGACGGGCTGGGTGCTGGGGCCCAGGTCTCACCTTGAGCTTCCTTCGGGCGTTGAACTTTTTCAAGCACTCCACAGTCTCCTGCCTGTGCATCATGGAGGCCACCGTGGAGCGTTGCTGTGGGGAGAGGGGCCATCACACCCTGCTAAAGGCTCCGAGAGGTCTTCGTCCCTCAGGGAGAGGGCTCAGGACAGCAGAGCTGTGCCACGGCCCTTGTGCCAAAGCCACCAGCCGCCCACTGCAGCCGGAGCTCAGCTGTGCCCCCCTGGCTGCCCAGCCCTGAGCCCACCGCCCCTTTCTACCTGGAACGCCCCCCACCCTCACCCTCCGGGCTCTCCTGACGGCCGTGTCCCCTACCCAGGCCCCCTGGCCTGCCTCGACACTCCGTCCCCTCACACACAGGCCGGACCAGAGACGGAGGCCTTGACAGCCCGCAGTGGGTCCCAGGCCCCCGGGGGCACGCAGCCAGGAGACCCGGGGACGCGCCAGTGGAGGGCGGAGGACCCCAGGGTCTGCGTGCGAGGACTTACGCAGACCCACGGGTGCTTCAGCGCCTCGTGGGCTGTGATGCGCTTGGCGGGGTTGATGGTCAGCATCTGGTTGATGAGGTTTTTGGCTTCAGGAGTGACCGTGTCCCACTCAGGAGATGGAAACTAGAAACGGAAGCGACAACGCAGGAGTGTGAAGCCCCCTCCCCAGACAGCAGCCAGGGTCCTCTGAGGGCTCTCACGTGGGCCTGCCTGCCCCGGCTGAGGAGGGGCAGAAAGGGTCGTGCACTCACGTCGTAGGCTCCCGCCTTGATCTGCTGGTACAGCTTGTGCTGGTCCTCGTCCCAGAAGGGCGGGTAGCCCACCAGCAGAATGTACAGAATCACCCCTGCGCAGAGCAGAGCGCCGGCCTCACGCACTGCCCTGCCTCCCCCTCCCTCAGCCTCCTCCCCAGCCCCCCACCTCACCCCCCAGCCCCCCACTCTCTGGATCCCCCTTGTAGGCTCCACCCCTAGCCCACCCCCGTGCCCTCGGAACACAAAGGTCACATCCAGGGCTCAGCTCCTGCAGCGACCCCGCCACAGTGGTCTGCACGAGGCCCCCCACCCACCCCACACCGTGTGCTTTTTCTGGCCCAGACCTCTCTTCTGGGTGCAGGGCAGGCACTGGGGTGCTGGGCTTCAGCCAGGTGGGCCCCGCCAGGGTCACATGAGCAATTCTAATCTGGGTGGGGAGGGGGACTCCTGGCGGACAGCAGCCCCGAGTCAGCCCAGGGGCAAGCCTGGCACGGGTGCAGGACTCCCTCCACCATGGCCCCGCGGCCCCACCCCGCCTCCACAGAGGGCTCACCGCATGCCCAGATGTCCACTGGCTTGCCATAGGCCTCCTTGCGCAAGACCTCTGGGGACAGGTAGCCTGGCGTGCCGGCAAACCCTGGGGACAGGGCAGGGGCGGTGTGAGGGCCAAGAGGGCAGCAGACCCCTGTCTTCACTCCAGGTGGCCGGGGGTCCCCACTCACCGAACCATGCCTGCTGGTCCCCCTGCACCTCGATGGCCAGGCCGAAGTCCGCCAGCTTCACGGCTGCCCCTTTGCACTTGCTGGCCAGGAGCAGGTTCTCGGGCTGCAGGGAAGGCGACACGCCAGTGCGCGTGTGGGTCATGCCACAGGACACAGAGGGGAGGGAACACAGCAGACGGGATGGCGGTCTGTGGGCTGACACCCTGCTGCGTGGGTGCTGCCCCGGCAGATTCCTTGTGACCCAAGGGAGCAGAGGGGAGCTGTCACACCCAGGCCGAGAGTTCAGAATGTGGCAGGCAGACCCGAGAGCCCCTTACCAGCCTGGCAGGCAGTGCGCCCGCCATGTCCCACATCTGGGTGCTCAGACTCCGTGGGGGCTGCCTGAGAAATGGTGCCCCCCCCTCCAGAGGACCAGAGTAAGGAAGCAGCGGAGAGCGTCTGACCGCCCCATCCCTCTGGCTCAGGCCATCCAGCGTCCCCAGCGGGAAATGGCCCTTCACAGGCCCCCCTGCCTCAGGAGCAGCGCACTTAGGCAAGCTGAAGGGACATTTGTCCCCCATCCCACAGGAGCACCACGGGGCGCTCTGTGCAGTGCCCTGTCCCCGGGCCTGCCCATCCTGGCCTGGCCGCCTTCAGCGGTCAGTGCAGAGCCCTCAGAGCTCTGGCCTCCAGCCTCCCTCGTCCCCGACCACCAGGGGCCCTCAGCCCCCTCGCCAGGCCACCGTCCCAGCAGGCAGGCCCACTGAGAGTACAGCCGTGGCGGTGCCCCAGGAAACACCCTGTTAACAGTGCTGAGGACCCTGAGGCGGCAGAATGTGCCCACGGCCCCTTGGAAGCCATGAAGGATGCCAGCCCCATGGCAGAGACCGGCGCTTCCCCGGGCCCCACACAGCTGGCCGGGCCCCATGTCCCCAGCACATCACCTGTGTGAGATGTGCTGTGGACATGCGGTCCTGCCTGCCCAGCACAGGGGCCCCCTCATGTCTTTGTTTGGTCAACGTGAGTGGGACTAGGGGGCCCCCACCTCCCCTTGCACCCACATTGAGGGGTCTGAAGTGGCTGGCAGGACTGCCATGGATGAGGGCTCAGCCCCAGAGAAGAGTGGGGGACCCCCGCTCCCCCCCGGTTCCCTCACAACCCCCCACCACGGTGCCAAATCCCTCTGCTCTCCCCACGCCGCACTCGGCTGAGCGCAAACGCACCACAGGATGGCCTTGGGGGTCTGTCCCCATCAGGAGACAGCCGTCCTCTCTGAAAGAGGAGACGCCATTTGCCCTCCACACTCGGCAGGAGGCAGAAGGTCCAGTGTCCTGCCCTTTTCTTCTTTTCAGCAGGCTGGTATGGCCCGGGACATGCCGGGCCGGGGTGGGGGGCGCACATATGTTCATGCCGCACGGGCTCCGTGGCCACGGCGGGGGCACGCTGCCACGGGACGCAGCTTCAGACCAAACGTGGTGCCCGACGCTGAGGCCCACGGCCCGGGCACACAAAGCAGGCAAGGACGCGGGACCATGTGGGACGTGCAGAGACAGATGGAAAGGGCTCGGGAGGAGACCCCGGGCCTGCTCCTGGTGCGACACCATCCCAGAGCAGCCCCTGCAAAGATCGGGGGCCCAAGGGAGGTGTGACCCCATTCAGCCTGGGAAGGTCGGTCTCAAGTGCCACCTGGGGACTCTCGGCAGGAAGGACAGGCCCTTCCCCCACAGCCCAGCCCGGAGGAAAGCCCACTTTGGAGACACTGAGAGGCAGGAAAGGTGGAGGGGGTGCTGCTACCCCTGAGGCCACGCGGTGCCCTGCGGGGGGACAAACTGCTCTGCCCAGAGTGAGTCCAGGGCAGCAGACTCGCAGGACGGGCTGGACGCCGGCAGAGGCCAGCGGGGCCGCCCTCCCCAACCCTGCTCCCCGGGCATCTGCCCCACCTGTGTGCAGGTCACCTGTATGCCCCCCTGCTGGGTCTGTGTGCCCCCTGGAGCCCAGACACCCCGAGTGCACGTGCACACACACGCGCACCCCCGCATGCGGCCCCACACGCGCTTGTCCTCGCACTTCCCCTCCCCTCCCGGGCCCCTTCTTGCAGGACACGCAGCCGCCAACGGCCAGCTGGCCCAGAGCAGGGTTGGGGACTCACCTTGAGGTCCCTGTGGACGACGCCCATCTGATGGCAGTGCAGAACCGCCTCCAGGATCTGCTGGATACAGTGACTGCGGCGAACGGCAGGCGAGTTAGTGAGGGTGGCCGTGAGGGGCAGGGGTGCGGGAGTGGGGCGCTAGGTGGCACTGGGGTCACGGGAAAGCAGAGAGTCAAGGTGCCGCCTGCCGCACAGGGGAGGAGATGCCGGCCAGAAAGGGGTCCTCTGTGGCCAGCTCAGGGCAGGGCCAGCCCCCACGCCCCACCTTCTTCTCTGACCAGGCCCACAGCAGCAGCACTCAGAGGACACACCCCTGTTCCCCCGGCTCAGGCCGCCCAGGCCTGACCCCGCGCCAGACACCCTCTCGGAGGGGGACCAGGGCTGAGCCCACACCCCGCCAGGCAGGCCAGCCGTGTGGAGCGGGGTGGCCACCAGAGCCCCACAGTCCTGGCGCAGTGGCAATCCCACAGCCGGCCACACTGGCTGCTCGGCCCCGGGGCAGCCCCGTGGTCCTGGAAGCTTCCTGCCTCTGTCCCGAGCCCTGAGCCAGGGAGATGTCGGGGGCCCTCCGGGCACGCCTGGCTGCAGGGAGAGCTCAGGGCTGCCCTCGGGCTCCTCGCACAGCGGTGCATGCCCATCACCCACACCCCAGGCCCCGAGGACACAACACCCTGGGACCTGAGCCTGCCTCCCCCAGGTGCCCCGAGGGCACCCACGGTTGCCGGCTGCCCCAGAGACAGCCCCCGACTCCTTGGGGTCCCAGCCACCCTGCAGCATGGCCAGCCGCGGGCCGCCAGGAGCCCCCTGCCCAGGACAGCACTCACAGCCCCTCGGGTGCGGGCGAGGCAGGGAGGCAGACTGCTTTAGGACCGACCCCTCCTGCCACGCCCGGACCAGGCAGGTGACTGAGGGTCAGCTGTTCTCCCAACCGCGAACGTGGCATGGGGGTGAGGGACCAGACCGGGTCCTCAGGTAGCCCTGGGCTGGCCGGGAGAGCACACACGTGAGGGACATCTGCCCACGGCCCGGGAAGGAAACCCGAGCTTCCTCCCTGCACAAGCCAGGCCCTGGGAACCCTAACGACCACAGTGCCTGAGCTCTGCGGGGGGTCAGAAGGAGCCGGGCCCAGACCTGGGGGAGGCCACCTCTTGTCAGCGCCACCACGGGCTGGAACCACAGCCCCCTCATGCCCTGAATCTCGGGACCTGGGGTCTCCTGTCCTTGTGTACTGGCCTAACTCACCCTCAAAACCTGCCTTATTCTTACGACTCCCACAAAGCCCTCATCTGCCTAGAACCATCCCCCATGGTCCTCATCCCCGTCCTGGTGGCACCAGACCCCCGTTACGGCAGCCACGCGCTCAGCACCTGTGGGTGACCCCCACGGCAAGCTCGTTGGGGGAACCACCCCACCAGGGCCCCTCCTCTAAGGCGGGGGCAGGACGCGGGGTGCACGCAGAGCCCCACGGCTGTCAGCGCTCACACCCGGCGCTCCGCCACCGGTCCCCGGGCCCACCTCGCACTGTGGCATTGGCAGGGAGCTGGGGGGCGGTGGGGAGCCCTGGCGGACCAGCCCCCTCCCAAGCTGCCGCCGCGCGGTGCTGGCCTGCACCCGCTGTCCCGCAGGAGCCTGCCCTGCCTGCCCCAACGGCCCTCGCGGGCCACAGGGGGCATGGCCTGGACCTCTGGCTGCTCCAGCAGGCCCCGGGGTCCCCGGCCTCTCGTCAGACCTGCTGAGCCTGCGGCACAACCTGCTTCGGCTCTGGCTCAAGCCCACCTTCCACCTGCCCCTCGAGACCCTTCCTTGGCTCTGAGCCCTGACAACACCCTCTGGGCTGCCCACCACAGTCCCACAGTCCCACAGCCTCTGCCACAGTCCCGACAGGGCTCTTTCCTCATGATCGGGCCGTGCCCAGCAGGGAGAGGTTCCGAGAATGTCTGCTGGACCCTCGGGTCTGTGCACTGCAGGACAGATGGAATGTTGGCTCAGACTGGGGGCTGCACCACCGCTTTCCTCCTTGTCCCCTTCCGGGAACGCAGGGCCCAAAGCAGCACCAGAGACATGAGCCCACACTCCCGGCCGGCGTCTCTCCGAGAGCATCGTGGGACTGAGGACAGACCCCACTCCAGGGGCTTCGTGGGCACCAGGAGGGAGAGACCGGCGGGCAGGGCACAGACTCGCACTCTCTCCCGCACAGCCAGGACGGAGCTGCCTAAGCTGGGCTCCCCACCGGCCACGTGGTGGTGGGAGCCTGACGCCGTGGCCTGCAGGAGCCCATTTCGGGAGGCCCTGGCCTGGGGGGCTCCAGGGCACTACTGGCCCCCTGCCCACTCCAGCCTGGGAGCACAGCCTGGAGTCCTGCCCACCTTCCCTCCTGCTCACACTGTGCCATCTTCCTGGCGGGGACTTTTTGGGTCAGAGTTGTTGCCAAGATCATTCTAGACACTGGCTGGGTCCTGGACACCATTCTCCTGGTACTGGGCTCTGGGGTCACCCCAGCTGCACCCCTGCCACCGCCTCCTCCTCGCTAGGGCAGTTGGATTCTCGGGGGCCCTTGAAACATCTCTCAAGACCCACATAGCTTTCTAGGGTTCTAAAAACTGGGTCCGAAATATTTTGACCTTTGCTTTCCCTGCTTTGGGAAAAGACACTCCAGGTGCCCCACAAACCGCCACATTTCTCTGAAGTGGGATCGGGAAAGAGCTCAGAACAGCAGTGCCTGCCTTCCTCCCGTCCCCTCCAGAGACTCGCCACGATGGCAGCCCCAGGACGTCCCGCCGCGAGCAGCACTGGCCCTGGCCGGCCCCAGGGCCAGACCCTGCCTCTGCACGGGGCCAACAACCCCTCTCAGGGGCAGGTCCCCAGAGCCAGGCAGCCCTCCCAGGATGGGAGTTAGCCTGGGCCATGCCTGCCACGGTTCCTGACAATGCCCGTGGGCGAGTCTATGGCAGACGGTCAGGTCCTCCTGCCCAGAAACAAAGCACCAGCACGAAGATCAAACGCAGGGCCGGAGCTCCGGGGACAAGAGGCGCCCAGAAGCACTCCCTAAGAGTCCCCTCGTCGCCTTCTCCACGGTGGGCAATGAGCAAGGCAGGCTTCGTGAGAGAAAACTAGGCATTTGTGCGGGGAACTCCAGCCCTGTCTCCTCTGGGCCAGTTCCAAGGGACCCCTAACACCAAGGGGGCCCTCCACGATAGGGTCCCCAACAGGAGTGGGGCCAGAGGGATCCCTGGGCATCAAGTGGCAGGGCCGGGGGCTGGAGGGGGTGTTGGAGACAAGGCTGAGACACAGGCAGGAGGGGCAGGTGGGTGAGGGAGGAGCTCGGAGGCCACAAGCATCGGGGAGCACAGGGCGTGTGCACGGCTGGGCGTGGGTGGGCCGGGGTCGGGGGCAGCGCCCAGGGGCTCCCAGCCAAGAGGGAGTTGCAGCCACGGGCCTTAACACCCCTGAGCTGGGAGCACCTGCTGCGGAATGCAGGGAAGGGGCCAGGCCCCAGGCAGTGAAGGGTGCCGAGGACAAAGGCCCCAGAGGCAGGACGCTGCCGTTGGGGACACAGAGGGCCGTGAAGGCCCGCGGCCCAGATGCAGGCAGCCCCGTGGCCGTGGTGGCAGAACTGGAAGGCAGGCCCTCCTCATGCTGGCTTTGCCCTGGTGGTGGGCACCAGGCCCTGCCCCAGCCAGCGGGCCCCGCCCACCGGGCCTCCCCAGAGCTCCTCCCCCACCCGGCAGAGGTCAGGACAGCCCAGGCCTCGCAGGCAGGCGCCCACTCTGCAGACGTCCCCACCCCGGCCCCACCGAGCCCAGGCACGCGGCTCGGCTGCTCTCTCTACTTGTCTTAAAGGAGGAAATGAGGACCGATCTGCTCCCGAAGGGGACCGGCCACTCCCGGGGGAGCGGACGAAACGAAGGTCCTTCCTCATGGAGCCTTGGGAAAGCAGCCCATGCCCCTGTGCCCTGTCCCTGATACCCCCCAACCCCGGCCCTGACACTGGAGGACCCAGGAGGCCCTGGACGGGGACCCAGGCCACCGCGGGACTCGCTTGGGCTGTTGCCAGCAGGCACGGTCGCCCGTGGGTAAAGAAATGAGTCACAAAAAGCTACTTTAAAAAATAATATTCAAGGGACGCCCGGGGGCTCAGTCAGTGAAGCAAACGCCTTCAGCTTAGCCTTGATCTCGGGGTCCCGGGACCGATCCCCGTGTCTATGGGCCCCTTGCTCAGTGGGAAGCCTGCCTCTCCCTCTGCCTCTGCTTCCCCCCCCCCGGCTCATTCTCTCTCTCAAATAGATAACATCTTTTAAATAAAATTAAAATGAAATAATAATATTCATTTTCTGGATTAGAAAAGGAATATATGCTCATTAATGAAATTTTTAGGAGCAAATAACATGAAAAATTAAAAATAAAAAGCATCCACAGTGAACACCAGCAGCTAGAGTGACCAGAGCAGCCTTCTGTCTGTCACAAGAGGGGTTCTGGGGCCCAGCTGTCCTCAGGCTGACATGCATGGGCCACAGCTGCCAGCTGGCCACCAATGGCATCCCTTCCAGGAAGGAGGGCCCTGTGTCCCCAGCAGCACGCTGCGGGTGGCCCCCTGATGTCCCTGGGGCTCTCATCCCCTGGGATGGCTGACCCCAGGGGGAAGGTCTGCCCAGGGGCCCCCATAGGAGCCTCAGCCACAGGGAGACCGAGCCCCTCCATCCCTCCACACAGGGCCCTGGCTTCCTGCCCACCATGGACGGGCTCTCCCTTCCTGCCTGCCCTTCCTGCCTCTGGCCGTGGAAAGACGGCACGGAAAGGGACCCCTGCCCCATCTTCGGAAAAGCATTTGGAAACTGCCCCTCTCCTCAAGGAAGGCCCTGCCAGGTGCCTGCTGTGGGCCACAGACAGATGTCCAAGGTGGGGGCGGGGGGAGCACCATGACTCCCCCTTCCACCGCCCACCCCCACCGAAAAAGCCCCTCTCTGGGCCATCCCCACCCCAGGGAAGCGGAGCCGGCCCGGGTACTCCCCGACTCCAGCCCGCTCCGATCTGGGGGAGGACACAAAAGTGGCTGCTCCTGGGACATGCTCCAGGCTCCCAGCAGGAACGGGGCGCCCCCTCCGCCCGGCAGACCGTCTGCCTCAGCCGTGTGAGCCGCTCTGCCCACAGGAGCACACGCGGGCCCCGGGGGCCGGCGGCGACCGAATGAGGCAGGGGTGGGAAGAGAAGGGAGCTGGAAGGACAGAGGCCTGCATACCCACCTGGCATCCGCCTCGCTGTAGTACTCTCGGGCCACAATGTCCTCGAACAATTCCCCGCCCGTGACCCTGAAGACAAAGCACAGGTCACAGATTCTGACGACCCCATCTGCCTTATCACTCCATCCCCATTGTCACCGCTGGCAACATCAACGACTCCTCCTCCCCCTCCCCATTCTCTACCCTATTTCCCTATCGTCCTCATCTCCCAGGACTAACAACCGACCGAGTCCTTACACACGGCATCATTTCACATGTCCACTCTCACAGCCGCTCCATGACATGGCAGTCGTGCTCAGAAAATGGGCTCTCGATGGGGTGGTGGCCCGTGTGGGCAGCACAGGAGTTTGACCCAGGCCTCTGCAGTGTTACCCAGGCTTTGTCATGCTAACTCTGGGCCTGAAGAGATCTGGATCCCTCCTCATGTCCCCCGGTACCAGAGCTGTGACCCCGCACAGAGCAAGGGGCCAGAGAGCCAGTGTCCGGATCTGGCCTCCCTTGTAGGTGAGCCCGTGAGGCGTCCCAAGCCCCATCTAGGAGCAGGGCGGGATTTCTGTCTGCACACCCACTTGTCACGTGTCCCTGCTCAGTGAGGGCCTTACGATCAGGATGGACGCCCAGACAGGAAACTGCCCGGAGGGCTTCTGGGAAACCCGAGAGACTCCAGGCCACCCGGGGCCCTTTGAGTTGGAAAATAAGGTGGACAGAAAGGTGAAGACAACAGGGGTGAGGCACAGATGCAGGGGGAGCAGGGAGGAGCCCTCCCGGGGCACTCCGCAGGCCCTCCCCCAGCTCCGGCCAGGCTTCCCACCGCTGAGACGGCCAGGCCAAGAGCTGCCTCCCTCTGCAGCGGCGCTGGCCCCAGAGGCTGCGCCCTCTCTGTCGTCATTTCTGTTCACGAAGGTGGGGATTGTGTGGGCCTCAGTTCTGTGCCCCTGCTTGGGGCAGGCTGGCCTGTGGCAGGGGCGACAGGCACCGGGCCTGCTTGAGTGGGTGCCCCTGGCGTGGGTCGACGCTCCCTTAAAGTCAGACGGCAAGACACACAGGATGTGTCGGGGCTCAGCATGTCCCTCTCTGGCGACACGCCTGCTTCTGACCCCTCTGGACATGCCAAGCGCTCAGGAGGAAGGAGCTCTTGGGGTTCCGACCTGCCACCAGAAAAGCCCGAGGCTCAGAGCCGGCAACGGCCTAATGGAGGCTGAGCCTCGCGGGCGTGTGTGCGCCGGCCTGTGCACATGCACGTGTGCGTGTGTGCCCGAGTGCGTGTGCGTCCGTGTGTGCGCGTGTCTGTCTGCACGTGCGTCCATGTGCGCATGCGTGTCCGTGTGTGCGTGTGTCCGCGTGCACGTGTGCGCGTGCATGTGCCCGTGCGAGCGTGCGTGTCCGTGTGTGCCCATGTGTCCATGCGTGTGTGTCCGTGTGCGCGTGCATGTGTCATGTGTGCGTGTCCGTGTCTGTGCCATGTGTCTGTGTGTGTCCGTGTGCACGCACGCGTGTGCATACGTGTGTCTGTGCGCACATGTGTGCATGTGCCCA